CTAACTAGAAAGCAGCATCACCAGGATAAGAAAAGCTCTTCCTGGAGACAGCAACATTTTTCTCTTCTTTTTTTTCTCTATCATGCAGCAATTAGACTAAAAAAACTATGAATTAAACCCATTTTTCAACCTATTTCCCTAGATAACCAAGCAAATATTGTTGAAAGCATCTTTTTTGAAGACTATGTATTTTAAAAAAATGACATGAATCTTTGGAACAGTTACTATAATAGAAAGATCAGTAAGAACTTATATTTTAACTCAAGAAGTTTAAATTGAGCCAAAATAATTCCTACCCCTGGGTGGAAATAAGGTTTTGATTTTTACCAACATATTTCTTCTGGCTACAAATAAGATTGTTGTTTGCAGTGGCCAAGCTTAGAGCCCTGACTTGAATCTGATGGAGAATCTAATGGATATGTTGCTGAAGATTAGAGATAGCTTAGAAACCTTCTTACATTAAAGGACATCTGCACAAAAGAAAAAAAAAACTTTTGCCTGTGTGATCCAGCTGTTGAATTTAAAATACATTTATACATAAATCTGCCAGGGAATTAATGTTTTTGGGCTTAACTTTGTGTCTTTTTAAAATTTATCAAATGTTAATGTGTGCTGCTCTTTGTTTGTTTTTTCTGCCTACCAGAGCTAGCAATGCCATATTCACAGCTCTGGAACAAAGCCAAGACGCCATAGAGATCACTTCTGAAGATCAAGTTATTCAGGTGGGAGGTTTTACTTTTCTTTTTATAATTTTTCCCCGCCAACCAAGCTTGTCTTTCCTTCTCTCCCTCTGTTCTGCTCTGTTCCTTTTTATAGCTCCTGTTCATGTCTTGTGATCTCAGATCTCTGTCAGCAGTAGTAGTGGATTCTGACATTTAAATGCTCTCAAAACACTGCAGCCTGTGTTTCCACAGAGTTTTAATCGAATGAGCTGAAAATGTTTTTATTCCTTCTGTTAATGAAGCGACATTGGTTTATAATGCCTAAACTCATTACTTTTTTCCCCCTCCCCTGTACAGTATGTGAATCCTGCCTATGAGTCCATCATGGGCTACCAACAAGGCGAGCTTATAGGGAAGGAGATAATAGAAGTGCCTAAAAGTGAGAAGAATAAGCCTGATCTTCTTGAAACGATAAACTCCTGTATACTAAAAGGAAAGGTATGTATACCTCATATCTCTGTGCCCATTACCACAATTCTAGAAAGCTGTCTCTGGTGCACGTTGCTTCACTATCAGATCACTTGTGCAAGCACCTCAGATATCTGCACCATGCGTGCTGCGCCGCTGGTCATCCAGCAGCTCCGTTTCATGTGCAGTAATCTCACTACACAGAGCACGAAGGTCAGTCCCAGACAGCTCAGCAGCAGGAAGGGTCTTTTTAAGCTGCGGGTGGGAGTGGGTGGACATGAAACAAGTGCACTGGACTCCAGTGGTGCTCCCTCTATCCATTAAAGCAAGCTGCCATTCTCTGAAAATACTCTGACCCACACCGTCTCACCACCTGTTACACAAACACTGGCACGCTAACGGGACGCTTTTAACTTTTACCTTTCTTTATTTTTAGTCATACGTTGCAAAAAAAAATACCAATAAGTCGTCCTGTTGTGTTGCCTTTCAGGAGTGGCAGGGGATTTATTATGCCAAAAAGAAGAATGGAGACAACATTCAGCAAAATGTGAAAATCACACCTGTAATCGGACAGGGAGGGTGAGTGAGTTGAAGAGTGGATTCCTCCATTTGTCGCAGCTTTTTTATTACATCTGATGTATCGTTGATGCTTTTGTCCTTTGCAGAAAAATCAGACACTATGTGTCTATCAACAGGCCTTTGAATGATAATAATAAGGTGAGATCCGTGGTTCTGGTGAATAGTGAATAGTGAAAGGGGGTTTGTTTTGGCGTGTGTCAATGTGCTTTTCCCGTTTTTCTGTGCAGAGTGAAAAATCCACTGAACGCGTGCAGGCCGAGTCGCAAACAGGTGAGATCGACATTTTTTTTTGTTCCCTAAAACAAAATTTTCAAGACCTCCATCTGCTTCCTAAGCTAATTAGTATATCTGTTTCCTGCATATTGTTACTGCCACTGGACATTGAGTGCAGCAATATATTAGAGATAATAGATTGAATAAATAAACTTTAATTATTTATTAGTAATAAATTCTTATTTTTTACATCAATGTGTAATCAATTCATATATTTAAAATGTCATTATTTATGCTGGAATTGTGCATCATGAATTAAGAAAAAACGAGGAAATGTAAAATCTCTGTAAAAGTGCAGATCTATAAAACCATGCCATAATTTCTTTGTTAAATTTTGCCCATTGATTCCCAGGACCATTTGTTTGGTACATATTCAATTTCAAAATGAAAGATAGTGGGAATAATTGTGAAATCAAATGAAAAGAGAATCATTGGCATTTTGCCTAAAAGCAATAGAAATATCAGGCGGTGGCGAATTCAACTTCAACTTCCTAAGAAATAATCTAAGAAGGGCGTGAATTTTCATTTATTGAACCTTGGAAGATGTTCTTTGGTGCTGTCTAAGCGGGTCATTGTTCCTTGCTGTTTTGTGGTACCAACTGGAAAAAGAAGCTGCAGCTGTGACTGATTTCAGAACGCCGCAGCTAGACGTCTGACAAGCCAACAATAAACAGGGATTGTATCTGTAGTTGGTTTGCGTCACTGGCTCTCTTCTGTTTGTTTCTGAAGCTTCACATGATGTTCTTGTGCAGTACATCTCAGTGCGTTCCCTCTGCAGCGCCTTTTCACCTTGTGGCTTTTGATGAGAGGCGGTGAAGGTGGATTAGGCTTTAATTACCTTACTAAAACCTTCTTATCTATTGCTTTCAGCATGGATTACTTTTAGTTCATTGTTTTTGTTTTTTCTTGATTTTTTTCAAATTATTCAAGTTTCCTGCTTATAATTTAGTTGTGTCTGTTTCCATTTAGAAATCCCAAACCACACTTTTTTTTAATCAGTGCTGTGCTATTAATTAATCTTTTATTTCCTTGCAATTCTTTTTATTTTAGACATGCAAATGTATTTTAATTGTTTTATATAAATGGTTTGTAAAAGGGACAGAAGGAAGAGTAGTCAACAAGTCAACGACAACTAATGGGGATTCAAGTAATAAACAAATGATAATTAAAATCTACAGGATCTCCAGAAAAGGACTTTTTACTGTCTGTAAAAAAACCTGGACGGTAAAACTCCATTGCACCAGAACTGGCTGGTTAAAACAAAATATATCCAAGACGCGAAAGTACAAACTCCATTCCATGTATGAAAACATAATATTTTTTTAATGTTATCTTAATTTCACAGGTGCTGAATAGCACTCTCTATAGTTATTCTCTCCCACTGTACAGGTGCTGGTCATAAAATTAGAATATCATGAAAAAGTAGATTGATTTCAGTAATTCCATTTAAAAAGTGAAACTTGTATATTATATTCATACATTACATACAAACTCATATATTTCAGATGTTTATTTTGTTTAATTTTGATGATTACAAATGACAACAAATGAAAATCTCAAATTCATCATATCAGAAAATTTGAATATTGTGAAAAGGTTCAAAATTGATGGCCCCTGGTGCCACACTCTAATCAGCTAATTAACTCAAACCACCTGCAAAAGCCTTTAAATGGTCTTTCAGTCTAGTTCTATAGGCTACACAATCATGGGGAAGACTGCTGACTTGACAGTTGTCCAAAAGACGACCCTCGACACCTTGCACAAGGAGGGCAAGACACAAAAGGTCATCGCTAAAGAGGCTGGCTGTTCACAGAGCTCAGTGTCCAAGCACATTAATAGAGAGGCGAAGGGAAGGAAAAGATGTGGTCGAAAAAAGTGTACAAGCAAGAGAGATAACCGCACCCTGGAGAGGATTGTGAAACAAAACCCATTCAAAAATGTGGGGGAGATTCACAAAGAGTGGACTGCAGCTGGAGTGAGTGCTTCAAGAACCACCACACACAGACGTATGAAAGACATGGGTTTCTGCTGTCGCATTCCTTGTGTCAAGCCACTCTTGAACCACAGACAGCGTCAGAAGCGTCTTGCCTGGGCTAAAGAGAAACAGGACTGGACTGCTGGTGAGTGGTCCAAAGTCATGTTCTCTGATGAAAGTAAATTTTGCATTTCCTTTGGAAATCAAGGTCCCAGAGTCTGGAGGAAAAGAAGAGAGGCACTTCATCCACGTTGCTTGAAGTCCAGTGTAAAGTTTCCACAGTCAGTGATGGTTTGGGGTGCCATGTCATCTGCTGGTGTTGGTCCATTGTGTTTTCTGAGGTCCAGGGTCAACGCAGCCACATACCAGGAAGTTTTAGAGCACTTCATGCTTCCTGCAGCTGACCAACTTTTTGGAGATGCAGATTTCATTTTCCAACAGGACTTGGCACCTGCACACAGTGCCAAAGCTACCAGTACCTGGTTGAAGGACCATGGTATCCCTGTTCTTAATTGGCCAGCAAACTCTCCTGACCTTAACCCCATAGAAAATCTGTGGGGTATTGTGAAGAAGAAGATGCAATACACCAGACCCAACAATTCAGAAGAGCTAAAAGCCACTATTAGAGCAACCTGGTCTATCATAACACCTGAGCAGTGCCACAGACTGATCGACTCCATGCCACGCCGCATTGCTGCAGTAATACAGGCCAAAGGAGGCCCAACTAAATACTGAGTGCTGTACATGCTCATACTTTTCATGTTCATACTTTTCAGTTGGCCAACATTTCTATAAATCCTTTGTTTTTATTGGTCTTCAGTAATATTCTAATTTTCTGATATGATGAATTTGAGATTTTCATTTGTTGTCATTTGTAATCATCAAAATTAAACAAAATAAACATCTGAAATATATGAGTTTGTATGTAATGTATGAATATAATATACAAGTTTCACTTTTTAAATGGAATTACTGAAATCAATCTATTTTTTCATGATATTCTAATTTTATGACCAGCACCTGTAAATAAGTGTAAACAGCATTAAAATGAATGCAATTTTTAAGGTGTGACTTTCGTCTGGTCATTTCCTTATTTCAGTAAATCATCACAGACTTGCTTGCTTGAATGTCATGTCCTCTTATGTTTTCCATTTTGAAGATGTGCTGAGAAATATAGCCCTCTGTTTCTTGCCATGTTTTAATTTGCCTGGGTCATGGAAGTTGTTTAGGCTTTAAAATTTGCCTAAGACTTTAACCGGATTTTCAACAAAGTAAGACATGTTAAGGAAATGTTGGACTCCGACAGGGCTGCCCTCTGTCACCGGTCCTGTTCATAACTTTTATGGACAGGATTTCTAGGTGCAGCCAAGGACCGGAGGGGGTCTGGTTTGGGGAACAGCGGATCTCGTCCCTGCTTTTTGCGGATGACGTAGTTCTGCTGGCTCCCTCCTGCCAAGACCTACAGCGTGCGCTGGGGCGGTTCGCAGCCGAGTGTGAAGCGGCCGGGATGAGAATCAGCTCCTCCAAATCCGAGGCCATGGTTCTCGACCGGAAAAAGGTGGCTTGTCCCCTTCGGGTTGGAGGGGAGTCCTTGCCTCAAGTGGAGGAGTTCAAGTATCTTGGAGTCCTGTTCACGAGTGAGGGAAGAATGGAGCGGGAGATCGATAGACGGATCGGTGCGGCTGCTGCAATAATGCGGACGCTGCACCGGTCTGTCCTGGTGAAGAGAGAGCTGAGCGAAAAGGCAAAGCTCTCAATTTACCGGTCGGTCTACGTTCCTACCCTCACCTATGGTCATGAAATTTGGATCATGACCGAAAGAACGAGATCCCGGATACAAGCGGCTGAAATGAGCTTTCTCCGCAGGGTGGCTGGGCTCTCCCTTAGAGATAGGGTGAGGAGCTCGGTCATTCGGGAGAGGCTCAGTGTAGAGCCGGTTCTCCTCCACATCGAGAGGAGTCAGTTGAGGTGGCTCGGACATCTTCTTCGGATGCCCCCTGGACGCCTCCCTCGGGAGGTGTTCCAGGCATGTCCCACCGGGAGGAGGCCCAGGGGACGACCCAGGACACGCTGGAGAGACTATGTCTCTCGGCTGGCCTGGGAGCGCCTAGGGCTTCCCCCAACAGAGCTGGAGGAGGTGTCTGCGGAGAGGGAAGTCTGGGAGTCTCTGCTTAGCCTGCTGCCCCCGCGACCCGGTTCCGGATAAAGCGGGAGACGACGAGTACGAGTACGAGTAAGACATGTTAAGGAAATGTGTCATTTGCATAATTTTACAGGAATAAATGGTGATTTTATGAATAAAATCAAAATAACATGTGGTTTAATTCTCCCCTTAATAGCTGTACCCCCTGTTGAGGATATTTCTATAATTTTAATGCAAAACTAAACCTAAAGAGCTTTTTTTAAAGTTCTGTTGCTTAAACCGATTCTTTTCTTACACAAAGAAGCGTAATTATTATTTTAAAGATGTCACATTTTTTGAATAATGAAAGATAACCACAATAATAAATGCACTTTGTAGTGAGACGTATGTCTATATATATATATATATATATATATATATATATATATATATATATATATATATATATATATATATTAGTGCTGTCAAAATTATCGCGTTATTATCGCGTTAACTCGAGGCCATTTTAACGGCGATAATTTTTTTAACGTGAGATTAACGCTATGTGGTTTTATGGTACAATTTTCCAAGTACATCCCGCTGCATCCTGCGAGAAGGCGGGGCAATTTCCCCCCAGTCTATGCATTTCTCATAGGCTTCGAGAGCGGAGCTCCTCAGGGGAAAAAGACGCTCATACACTGGGTGACGCTAGTGCCTTTTCTTTAAGCCCCACCACCAACAAACAAGTTGAGTGTCTGGTAACTAGTAGCAACCTGAAATACGCTGAGAAAACAGATTACTGAGGTGAAATGGAATCTGCTACGGCACTCTTGCTGTCTGTGTACGCCACAGGTCGGTATCGTGTGTGTGGGTGGGTGGGTGTGTCTGTGTGTGGGTGTGTGTGTGTGTGTGTTCTCATTTTTGTTAAGAGGCTGAAAAGTAACTTTCTAGAGCATAGACTACCTCCATCTAGTGATGTCGTTCTATTGATTTTGATGTATTGATTGAAAATTCTTCATTATTACCTTGGTTAATTGACATCTAATGTTAACTGTACTACATTTTATAGCAGTAGGGTAAAATGCTTGTCTTTGTTCAAAAGACTGTATTAACTGTAAAGACTGTCTTTTACATCAGCCTGTTTTCAGGGCCTTTTTTTTTGGCTACATATTTGTTATTTTTTGCTACATGTTTTCCCATCTTCTTGCCAGATGTTTCTATGGCATAAATCAGTGTCTGTGACCTGTTTTCATTTTAAAAAAAGAACATTGGCACAAACCTAGCCTGTATGTATTTTTTGTATGTCATCGAGAGTATTTAAATGATTTTCAATCAGAAAAAAAATTTGCGATTAAAATGCGATTAATCGCGAGTTAACTCAGGCATTGATGCGATTAATCGCGATTAAAAAAATTTAATCGATTGACAGCACTAATATATATATATATCACATATTTTAAAACAGCATTTATATATACATTAATATATACAAAATTTGCTAATTTGCCATAAACTAATCCAAGCTTTCAATTTTGAAACTAATATTATAGTTAAAAAGTAAAAATTCTTTCTTTTTTTAATTTTTGCAGCTTTTACCTTTTTTCTCACCTTCAAACACGACTTAAAATGTAGCAACACAACCAAAAAAACTGCTTAGTCTTGCAAATATATGCAGACTTAATGATATGCAGTCAAAGACATTGATTATATATGTAAATGTGAATAATAAAAAAAGCGTTTTCCCTCCTCCAGATATACAATCCAGTAAGCACAAAGACCGAAGGAAAGGCTCTCTGGATGTCAAATCCATCACGTCTCGAGGGAGCGATGGTGAGAGTGAAGGGACATAGATGATGGAAACACTCTGCTTCTTGTCAGCTTATGAAACCTTCCCCGGTGTTTGTTTGTGTTATGTGTTGTTTGGATACATGCACACATTAATTAGAGCAGGGCTTTAAACTGGCTCCCTAAGATTTCTCTCTTCGATCCTAACAGGGAGCTCGCAGAGAAGACACTCCTCGATGGCCCGAATTCACTCCATGACCATAGAGGCTCCCATCACTAAGGTGGGTTCATACCAGGCCCCTTCCTCAGGCACAGCATCCATCATATGATTATCACTTAGTACCCATGGTTAGACTCTAACCACTAACCACTTGTGTTCTAAAAGTGCTATAAACCTCATGAGCGCTTCTTGTATCGCTACCTAAATGGAATGTAGAAGTCACACACAAACACCCACCATTTCAATTGCAGATGGGCTGATAAAACGCCACATTTCATGCACAAGGCGAGGAGAGCATGTCGGACCAGAATGACCCGCTTTTTAAGCAGTTGGTGAAGCGAGGCTGGTCGGAAAAAGTGAAAGTCCCTAGGGAGGGGTCATATGACACACTGCTGTACTTCTGCTGTATCATTTGACTGTGCAGTCAGTCCCTGTAGGCATTGTCCTCTGGAGAATAAAGCAGTGATACAACCGCTGCCTGTGTGTGGAGATGTGCGTAAGCAAATTAGTTCAAACTTGTGTTCTTGTACATGCATTGCTGACCTTGCTACTGGTGCCTATTGCTGGAGCCTTCTTCACTTTTTTAAATGTTAAGAAAGGCTTATCTTTTTTGCACATAAGAGAACTCTGATTTTAAATAATGCTTCTTTAATTAGTGGAAATTGAACTCTAAGCTTTTTATGAAAATAATGCACTGTGCTTTTCTTAAAACTTTATTTTTATAATATTTTTTAAGGTACAAGAGTCTGACTAAATTTCACCAATCACGTTAAAAGACCAAACTTAAATCTATTTCTTGAGAAAATTTGACAGAACGGTAAAAGCTAAAGCATAATTCTGAGGTGGAAGTCTCCACAGCGACACATTGGGTTCTGTGGAGATCTTTTTCCACAGCAAAGTTGGACAAAAACTGATGGGAGGATAGGTGGAGCTGGAAAACGAAAGAGAAAACCGTTTGATTCTGCCCCACTGGTTAGGAGTGACGGCCCTGATGATTCACCGGGATGTCCCAAAATGTTTTGCATAGCTCCATAAAAAGACTGAGACATAAAAAGCTCCATGAAAAGACAACAAATATCAAAAAAGTTATCGATGAAAGATTGTCTGTTGTGCTTCCTACAGGGGCTGCGCTGGTGTTTCTTTTGGCTGTTCAGCTAGACTTTATGGCAATTTTTTTCTGCCTCTAATGGCAGAAACATGCCGTTTGTGTCCAAAGGTTTTAAATGACCCATATACTGTATAGTGGTGATGATTAAGTCTGTTATCAGACTTTTTATTTTGCAGTCTTTACTACAGACCATACAGCATATTCAAACCTTTTTATTTTTTCATTTTTTTTCATTCAATTTTCCTTGCACTATTACAGTAATACGTTTTTTGTTTTTTTTATTAACTAGGTCATAAACATCATAAACCAAGCACAGGAAAGCAGTCCTATGCCTGTGGCAGAGGCCTTGGATCGAGTACTGGAAATCCTTAGGACTACAGAGCTGTATTCCCCCCAGCTGGGCACCAAGGATGAAGATCCCCACACCAACGACCTTGTTGGAGGGTTGATGACGGTAAGTGGTAAATACTGGGGCAAAGTCATCCTCAGTAGGTGGAGAACCCATTTTTCATTTACTTTGAAGGTCTAAAGATGACTGCAACACCCAAACAACATCTTTTTTTCTATTGTATACAAATTGAATCCATTTGCTTTGCAGCAATGTCTACTCTAACATCTTTGATTGGATTAATAAAACAACACGAGTTCAGAGTGCGTGGATAGTTTTTTTTTATTTCCAGAGAGGAAGAGATGAAGAAAGATTAACAGACATTAATGCTGAAGAATAGAAGTAGTGCCAAGTTGGCAGTCTTGGCAACAAATCCAGAGGAAGTGTTAGATTGTCCTTTGTGCTCCTGTAGGCTGGAGAGGAAAGCCCACCCTACCCTTTCTCTCTCTCTATGTCTCTGCACACATACACCCAGTCACACTCGTTGTCCTCTCCACTCCACAAGCTCGGAAACATCCTGTTCTTTGGACCCGATGAAAAAGCCCAACTTTACTTCTACATGAAGAAGGCAGCGAGGTGATGGTTCATCCCTGGAAAGATTCATTCTGTATGAGTGATAAAAGCCAGGGAACGCTGGGCAGTTTGTCTGAGCTCAGAAGGTTTTATCGGGACAGATCTCATCAATGAGGTGAAGATTAAAAAGGGGAGCTATTTCTCTCTCTCTCTCTGTTCTTTTTTTTGGGGGAGAAACGGTCCTAAAATAGGACTGAGGCAACACCACCACGAGACAATGCATGGGTCAAAGATGATCCCGTCTCCTCTTCCTTTTTCACTTGTGAAGTAAACACTTCCCATTGTGACACACACCCATGCACTCACTAACACCCAGTATATAATATAACCTGTGCTGTGCACCATGAGCAAGTTTGAGCAATTTTCAGGGATTTTTTCTGCACATATGGGGAACACAAAGATGTTACTGTGGTGGAGACATCTCTGGATGACGAATAAATTTTATCAATCAGCGCCCTATATTAAAAAAAATTAAGTTTGTAAAACTGTAGTTTTTAGTTTGCAGATTTAAAAACTTTGCATGGTTGCCACAATTTCTTACAACAGGTCAAACTTTTGCATGGGTTGCTGCACACTTTCATGCAGTTTCTTTTTAAACACCCTGAGTTTTGTGTTAAACAGTGTGCCCCATGTTTTCTTTGCTTTTATACACAAGAGGCCTGATCAGCTAACAGAAGGTACAAAGAAAGCGCTGACATCTGCAGGTTTAAGAACATGAAATGCAGATTGAGGCATTGATTTATTTTGCAGTCGTCACAAATGGCTTTTTTTGAGGTTTGCCCAAGAACGTATATATGGGAGACAATTCTGTTTTTTAAGTGCAAACAAATGGAATTCAAATCTTTATAAAGGCCCAAGAAGTAATATAAAAAAAATGTAAACCGTTCTTTTTTGTGTTATTTGTTTTGCCTTTTTTTGCATGTCTCAAAAGGAAGTAGGAAAGTTGCCATCATTGCTGTTAATGTCTTCAAATTCTTAAGAAGCAGGCTGTTGCACAGCTGGTATGAATTAGTACTTAGAGAGCCGGATCTTTTGACTTCTCTCTGGATGGTTGATAATTAGGGCGACGCTCTGTTTGCCCTCTGATAAGCCCCATTTGCTCAAACATCATCCACTAATACCCAAAGACAGACAAAGGGCTAAATCAAATAACTTTCCTATATATTGGTTCACATATGGACATAAAATAATATTGCTGTCATTAGTGACACGCCTGTCACAGCTTGTAATCCTGATAACTGTATCTTTAAAGGACTCTGGATAAAATCTGTTAAAGCTCTCCTTAATGTCTTAGTCTGTTTTTTGGAGAAACCCTTACAGAATATAAGCTGATGTTCTTACAAATGAGGTAAGTTTCTACTGTGAGGTTTACAGAGAGGCTATTTGAAACGTCCCTTCTCATCTCTCATCTGAACAGGACGGTTTACGGAGGTTGTCAGGAAATGAGTACATCCTCGCCACAAAGCGTAAGTTCACACAGAAGGTTAACCACAACCAAAACTTTACTGGGTTGTCTTTCCCTCAGCTCTATTTATTATGAGTCTAAACATTTTTTTTTTACTTTTCTCCTGTTTTTATTTTGCTCACAGAACCCCACCATCTGCCGAGTCACCTGGCAACTCCCCTGTCGTTAAACGACATCCCCCCTCGGATTGCTCAGACCATGGAAACTGAAGCATCATGGGATTTCGACATCTTTAACCTGGAGGCTGCAACCATGAAAAGGTGAGGCTTCCCAATCTTGAAGGATTGCAGGCATGTTATCTTTATGGAAAAGAAATTGCATTGACTGCACTGAACTTCCTCTCTAAACCCTCCTGCAGGCCTTTGACCTTTTTAGGTCTGAAGATTTTCTCCCGCTTTGGGGTGTGCGAGTTTTTAAACTGCCCTGAAGCTACTCTGCGCTCCTGGCTGCAAGTCATTGAGGCCAACTACCACTCCAGCAACTCCTACCACAACTCTACCCATGCTGCTGATGTCTTGCATGCAACTGCCTATTTTCTCTGCAAGGAGAGGGTCAAGGTAAAATAAGGGAGGATAATAATTTTTATTTTTATATTCTTGCAGGGAAATGCAAAATATTTCGTCATCTTTCATTTCTTCATTTCAGCTCTATTTCAGTTCTAAAAAATTACTTTATCATAAGTTTTCTTAAGCTATTAAGTCTTTATGGAATTTTTTTCCCTGTTTAAACACACTTTGATTGCTTCCTTAGTTCAAATTTATGCAATTTGTTACTGGCACTTCCGTCTTATTTCTGTAAAGGCATCAATGGAAAATACCAAATATTAAAAAAAAATACTTTAACATAAACATGCTGATATGCAGGGAATTAGGAAGCTAAGTAAATGTTCACACAGTGGTCATGGTCCTTCTGGCCTCAAACCACCGTTTTTTTTCCAAACCTATTTGTCCACATGATATACTGTTTAGTTTACGTCTGGCTTCTTCGAAATAAAACACACTGACCGTGTGTGTTTAGAACCTTTAAGAAAGAGTAAATCACAAAATAAGCTTCGGTCATCTTCCAACCCAAACTTCAAACCTTTTTCTCTCTGGTTTAACAGGACAATAAACACCAAGAACAACACATAGTAGTGTGGGAACTTGGAGGGTTGTTTAGGGAACATCACTGAAAAAGCATCTTGGAGACCAAAGAACAGAGAAATTTTAAGCAGGAATAGATTATTAAAAACCATTTTCGCAGGGCTCTGTTTAACACTGGTACTTGTCCTCTGGTTATTTGGAGCCGGTGTCGGCAGAGAAGTCCAGATTTCCGTCTTCCTTGAAGCCGCCTCCAACCCCTCTGGGCGAAGGTCAGCTGAGACACAGAGTACCTCCAGTATTGGTGAAGGCCTCTACCAAAACGCACAAGACATTTCTCCTGATTTAGAAAAAATGGGGCCCCATCCTGTCCTTGGCAAGGTTACTTCTGGCTGGACCAGCTGGGCTGAGCTCGAACAAGTGGCAAAACCCCATCTCATATTAGACCCACCCCCTGCATGGAAACAGTGAGGGAATTGTGCATGCACAGGGCCGATCTTTGGATGCTTAAACTGATTCTGTTCAATCTATTTTTACATCTTCAAACCTACAAAGAAATGACCATCTACCTAACAGGCCAGGCAAGAAAAACTGTCATCACTGAGGATGCCAAGCAGCCTGTTGTAGCGCTGGAGGGGCAGCAGGGGGACTGAGATCCATTGGTTTGCCACCCCACATGAGCTACTAATGGAAAAGCACCAAGAAGAAGGCTATTTTCTAAAAAAAAAAAAAAAATGCATAATATTCCCTTTTAAAGTTTGGAGCAAGCTACACAGCGGACACAACAAATTGGACGAAGGTGGTCTTCACAAATGGGAGCTAAAGTGAACCTTTTAACCGTCATGTGGTGCAATACTAACTCTGCTCATCGCACTCATCGCACTCAACACAGTATCCCTGATGTCGCACATGGCAGTGGGAGCATCATGGTATAGGGAGGCTTTCTTCATCAGGGACAGGAAATGTATCCCTGCTAAAGGGAAGCTGTTCCAGACAGATATTTACAACTCTAAATGTGAAAAGATGGGGGAAAAAAAGAACAAATCTTTCTTGTGAAGAATCCTAGACTGACATTTGAGCTTGTAATGTAAATTAAAGGGCAATAAAGGTGTATATGTTGTCATTGTTAAAATTTAGTGTAGTTTATACCTAAATGCTACCGATTATTAGCATTGTCTTCTGTCAAAACAGAAGACAAATAGCCTTTTGTGTCAATAGTCCATCTAATTCAACTTGATCCTAGAAAGTCAGCGTTTTGCCCAAGTGTGTCAGTGGTTCAGTAATGTGTTGACGGTTTGGACCTGCTAAGCCGATTACCACAGCGTCTATTTCTGATCTCGGCCCAGTGATCTTTTAGGGCTTTAGCCAGTGAACTGTAAAGTTACATCACACAAGGTTAATGAGTCCCAGGATTTCTATAGGTCAACATTTTATGTAAAAGGTCACTTTATTTTTACAGATAGCCTGTTTTAAGAAGTTAAATACTGTTTTGTTGTTGTTTCTTTTTACTTTGCGTTCAAAAGGACGCAAAGGACACATTAAATGAATAAAACGAATTCTTTGTTTTAGAGTAATACCATCCAAGGCTTTTGTTTATCTACTCAGTCAGATCTGCCACATTTAGGTACAAAGATAATGGAGTTTTCTTTATGCTTGTTCTTTAATACTTTTTTTGTTGTTTGGTTTATCATGACAGCAAAGTTTGGATCCCATTGACGAAGTAGCTGCTCTGATTGCTGCCACTGTGCACGATGTGGACCATCCGGGCCGGACAAACAGCTTCCTGTGCAATGCAGGAAGTGAGCTGGCCATCCTCTACAATGACACAGCTGTGCTAGAGAGCCACCATGCTGCCCTGGCCTTCCAGCTCACAACGAGAGATGATAAGTGCAACATTTTCAAGCACATAGAAAGGTAAGGAGATCTTATTAGATTAGACATTGCAGCTTGTCACAATAAAATACGAACAGATTTACTATACTAATTTGAATCTATAAAGTTGATTGAGTTGATCTATACCTTAAATATAAGGATGTACAACCTAATAAGACTAAACCTTTAAAGAGTCATTTTATAGGCATTTTGTTTTTTTCAAATAAAGCTCTAAATAAGGTATGTTTTTCTCTGGTGTGTACACAGCAAGGCCTATGTTGCTTATACACCTGCTGCAGCGTTTTAACAATATTAAAAAATAATTTTAAAATGTTTAAATATTTCTTACCTATACAGGAGGTAAAAGTAAATTGGAAGTACTTGGAACTCTTAGGCAGATCTTACTGTAAAGACGCATAATGCTATAAAATATAGATTACCCTGAATTTCAACACAAAAAGAAAAGTTTTGTACATTAAGTTTATTTATTTTTTTTATAGTACCGTTTTTATTTGCATTTCGCATAATTTCTGTAAACCCATCTATGTATATGCTATTCTACATAACTGTAAAAACCCTTTTTATAGTAATATCCACCTGTATATTATATTCAGTACATATCCAGCTGTAAATTTAGTTCATAACACTAGTGATCTATATATTATATTCATTATTTATAATAGTATTCATCTCTATACTCATACAGTAGAATCCCATGTCCTATATTTATGGAACCATTATTCATCCTGCACTTGCTGTAATTGCACTTCTGGTTAGACCTAAACTGCATTTTGTTGCCTTGTACCTGTGTAATGACAATAAAGTTGAATCTAATCTAATCTAATCTAATCTAAAAGGCATTCAAGTGAAACTTTCAATTAAAATCGCAGTTGTTTACTTTTGTTTACGATTGATCAGATTGTTGAATTAACTTCCTGTTTCCCTGGGCTATAAATATAACCTGGCACAGAGGTCAGTGTCTCTGGATCACTCTTCAAAATGGGAAAGAAAGGAGAACATCCAAGCATGTATTACAGTTGTTTGGTAATCTAAATTTGTTAGTAGATGCAAGAAGAAAATCTGCTTGCTTAAACTTTATAACTTATTTCTAAGAGGCACCTGTGGAAGCGTCTTGCAATCAACAAGACAATAAAAAAAAGTAATTGGTCAGTTTTTCTGAATTAACTAGATAATTTTTACAAAATTAAATAAAAACTCTATTTTTCTTATTTAACAACATAACTTAAAAAGAAATAAAATGCTCAGTAAAATGCTCTGTTTTACTGAAATTCACAAAATTATGCTGTTGTGATTTCATAATGGATGTTCTGTTACTGCTCTAAGCAACAGACATCTTTCCTTGAGAGAAGCTTCAACATGTTCCACTAAGTTGAATCAATTGTGACTTTCTTTTAGGATTTAGACACAGAAAAATTTTCTTGTCTCTTAATTATGTAGATGAGATCATTGTTGTTGCAAAGACACCTGCGCGTTGGGTGCTGCTCATTTCACGGTTGTTTTCCTCCCTTCTTTTTTTTCATCTTTTAAAAACAGGGAAGCAGTTACTTTACTTGCCGTTTTGTTCAGATGCTCATGTCTATAGCTAGGGCAAGAATTAAAACAAAAAAGTTCAACAGAACTGGAAATGTGAATTAGGAATCTGGATGCATCTAAATCTTTTCTGCCTTCATATACAGTAAGGAGAATGGGAAATCTCCAAAACTGCAACACACATTTTTCCAGTGACATTATTCTGTTGATGTTGAGATTAATTTTATACATCTTAACAATTCAATTTAGTTTATTTATATAGCGCCAATTCACAACATATGTCATCTCAAGACACTACAGTTCAACCAGATCATACAGTCAGATTGATTCAAAGTTTTCTATCTAAGGAAAATCAGTTGATTGCACCGACTCATTGACTCAAATACAATCCCTCACACTAAGCATGCTTGTAGCGACAGGGGAGAGGAAAAACTCCCTTTTAACAGGAAGAAACCTCCAGCAGAACCAGGCTCAGTGTGAGCGGGTCCATCTGCAGAGAAACAAGACTTCACTGAAAAACAGGCTGATCTCCAACATCTATGAACAAAGGTGTTGATGGCAGCACAGAGCTGATATTTCTCTCCAGGATGGTGTCACAGACAAAAAGAAACAGATGAGGTGAAGCTACTATGAGAAAAAGCAGAGAGAGCTTAATGTTGGAGATTGAACTAAGAGATTCTGCACAGTGGGAGAATAGAGATAGAATGAAGCAGAATGATGAAATAGGGGTCCCAATGTCCTCCAGCAATCTAAGCCTATAGCAGACTATAGGCTTAGAGATAACTATAGAGATAGCTCAGGATAACCTGAGCCTCTCTAACTATAAGCTTTATCAAAAAGGAAAGTTTTAAGCCTACCTTTTGTATTTAACAGGAAGCCAATGAATAGAAGCCAGGATAGGAGAGATATGATCTCTCTTTTTAATTTTCATCAGAACTCTGGCTGCAGCATTTTAACCAGAGGTGTCAATAAATATGAAGGGTGGTATATGCTGGTCAAACCTAAACTGGATTATTTAATCCTGTTATGTACTGCTATTTGCTATGTGAGAATAGCAAAAACTGAAAAATTTAGTCCATAGACTCTACATAATGAAGCAAGCATTTCCCAGCTGGATTTTTCTCTTAACTGAAAGGCCTTTTCATTGTAACTTTAAGAAAACTGTAGGATTATCGATCATGCAGTTGAAAATCTAAATGCTTAAAAGGTCCAGACAGAACTGGATAACTCTCTACTGAACAAATATTCATGAAAATGATCTCTGAAACCTCAACTCACTTTGTGAAAACACAAAAAGCTATTTAATTGACCTATGGAGCATTGAGACTCTCTTAGACGGAAGCATGCTGGAAAAGGGTAGTCAAACCCACACCCAATTATTCTAAAGATTCTTCAAAATCTTCAGTATGTAGTTAACACCTTGTCTCATTCAAACCTGCTATCATACGATTTTCTTGTCTCCTTTTTTTACATCACTTGAGCAGGATGTACCATTTGTCTAAAAGGTCCTGAATATCTGCAGCTGTTATCTAACTAAACAGTTTATTTTTGCTGATATATATGCATCAATATGACAAGACCTCTTTTTTTACTATTTAAAGATTAGCCTCTGGACTCCTCTGTTTAAAACTGGTTTTATTCTGCTATTCTGTCCTTTTTTATGCATAGTTTATTTTAATACACAAGCATCTCGTTATCCAAGCTGAAGTCAGTCTCTCTTTATATCATCATGTAACAGGGGCATACAGTATTTTCATAATGCATGCACTGTTTTCGCATTTGTTCAAACATTTAACATGTTGCTTTAAACTTAAGGATTGTTAAGCTGCTAGACATTTTTTTGTTGTTGTTTTTTTTGTTCCATAATTTATGACACATTACAATAACAAAAGACAGAATTTCCCTGTTTTATGTAATCAGCTCCTTTTTAAATAAACTTAAAGCCACAGAAAACGGTACCTTTAACACATATATCACCAAGTGAAACGTATATATGTGATTTTTACCATTTTAACATAATTACTAAACTAAACTAATGAGATTTATTTTTTTTTTGAGGCACCTATTGATGTAAGTTGAAGAAAATTATGATTCTTTTATTTATTTTGTTACTTTCTCTATTAGGAAATATTTAAAAAAGCACATTACTGTAACTTAACTGCTACATAATAGTAACATCTGAAGATAATATAGCTAAACTGATTGCTACCCTAAAACAAGTTCAGCCTTGTAACATAATTGTATAATTGTCTATTTAAACATTTTATTATAAGGCAGCTCCTCTGCTTAGGCCCCTATGTTTTGCTCAGGGTTAAATAAATATATCTAAGTTCAGAAGTTTTGGGCATTATTTTGCATTCCTAATTTATTTAAGCGATTCTTCTATGTGCATTCATTATTATTCATTTTTGAAAGAGACTTGCATTAACTAATGCAACAGGCAGTAAAGTATGTTTGAGTTCATGCTAATGAAAGATCAGAGTGTGTTTGTGTACATGTTTGTGTGTTTGCACTGGTGGGACAGTAATGCGATTTGAGCCCCAAAACAGAATAGCTCACATGAGCTGGTCCCCTCTAAGGGGCGGGGGGCAAACAAAGCAGCCATTCATGGCTGCTGTCACTGCCGTCAGTAGAAAACTGTTTACACAGGTTTCTATGCTACTTAGCATGCTATCATTCTCACTCTTTTCCTCCTCATCTTCTTCTCTTTTTTTTTTTTTTTTTTCTTTTCTTCTCTCCAGGAATGAGTATCGAACATTAAGACAGGCCATCATAGATATGGTCCTCGCTACGGAGATGACCAAACACTTTGAACACGTCAATAAGTTTGTGAACAGCATCAACAAGCCGCTGGCTGCTCTGGAAGAGAATGGGGTAAAATGAAAAGTGTTAAAGTGAAAAATGTATTATTTTATTATTGTGAAAATAAAGATCATATAGTTTATTGCTTATACAGAGATAACATTTATTTTTTCCCTTCCAAGTAATTGGCATAATATGCTTAATTCACACACACACACACACACACACACACACACACAGCTAGAGATTCATATATCAACAGTGGGGATTTAAAAGTTAAAGATTTTTAAAAATAAGTGGAAAATCTTAAGGAGATGTATGACCTGTTGAGTAAAGAAATATTAGAGCAAGGAGAATTTGATAACCTGGTTCTATCTTTACCAGTTTAGTGTGGAATAGTCGACCTGGAAACAAATGTTTCTCTGGCCTTTAAAAGGCAGAGTTTGCAACAATAAAGAAATATCAACACCCTGTATTTAAGTCCGATGCATTGAAATAGAGAGTGCCTAACCAAACAGACGAAACAAAAAGGTTAAAGTTGGTTTATCTAAGAAATTTTGAGCTGTAATTAACTGCAGTTATGTTTATACTAATATCCTGGATTTGTTTTGTTTAGGGAAACAGCGATGAAGAATCTGTCAAAAGCGTCCTGACGTCCCCTGAGAACCGCATCCTCGTCAAGCGGATGCTGATCAAGTGCGCAGACATCTCTAATCCATGCAGGCCTTTGGAGCTCTGTATAGAATGGGCTGGGCGCATCTCAGAGGAGTATTTTGCACAGGTAACCATTTCCCTACTGATTATAACCATAAACATTTGATAAGATGCTGTTTTACTGTTGGGCATGATGGTCACTTGTGTTCTTGTCTTTACTGCAGACAGATGAAGAAAAGAGACAAGGTCTACCAGTGGTCATGCCTGTGTTTGACAGAAACACATGTAGCATCCCAAAGTCCCAGATTTCCTTTATAGACTACTTCATCACAGACATGTTTGATGCATGGGATGGTGAGGCAACACTGCATCACATAGAAACGATTTATAAAGGTTTTTTTCTTTTGGCATAAACAATATAATAAGCAGCATTTAGAAAGAAATTTCAGGCATAACTGTATATTTAAAAAAAAACTTAATCTAAAAATAAAACTGATGATATCTGAGTTAAATGATTCATTAACTACAGATGCGTCACTCAAACGTTTCTGGCTGAAACTAGTCTCTAATTTGGATTAAAGGGATATTGTGTAATAATTACTACCATCTGGCGTTGAAATGGTGGTATTTCATTCAAACAAACACTTTACAATAACGCGTCACTACCTCAAACACGTTTTTGTGGCAACAGTAGCCGCTGTGTGTCAAAAAGCCTCGACAAAACAGATGTAACCATGTCAAATAAATAAATAAAACATTAAAGGAAAATTCAACAACACAGAGACGGCAGTGAAATGAATGTTTACATGGCTTCAGTAGCTGTAGTCGTCACGATGAAGGTCGATAGGAAGTCTTTACCAGCTGTATTTACTGTGACGAAAAACTTTGACAGGTACTAAACCCACGTAATCCTACAATTCTGTACCAACAAGATTGGTATAGGTTTGCGTGATCTACTGTTATGCTTCCTAAGGTAATGAATAACTCTGTCCAAATAAACCGTATGGAAAAAGTTTGTTTTGAGCTACTCAATGCAGTACGGTTCACTTAAATGTAAAGGAAAATAATGGCAACTTCAGGGTCCATTTTTTAAACTTTATGCTTGCTCGATGTTGATCGTCGATTTATCTGGGATTTCTGTTTTGGTGCCCATGGTTTCATTGTCTTTTAAGTTAGCTTTTTGGGGGATGGTGAAACGGTTTCTTGTGCTGCTGCTGCATATGCATGGTCCTGCATTGTGCTGCAGTAATGCAGACTTTCAGTCATTCTCCAAAATGATCTTCACCGCTGTTTATTAATCCCCAGCGCTTCAAGATGGCATACTGTTCTGGCGCTTTTAAAACAGGTGACCAGACTTATTGATAATCGAATATAACATTCTTGGCTGATGACAATGTATCTGATTATTAGTGGAGGTAATAATACACCAGTAATAACACACATGTAAAAGTGGTAAAAAATTGAAAATAGAATAGAATGGAGAATTCCATGAATTGTCCCAAATGGGGAAATTCTAGTGTTACAACGGCAAAAGATTGTAGCAAAGTGGTCACACAAGTGTGCATAAATACTGTGCATCTGGAGAATAAACAATCAATATACAGATGTTACACAACTTGTTACACAATATCCCTTTAAGGTTGTACCTGGTGATCACTTCATCACCAACGCCTATAGATGAAAACATTTCTTTGATGTAGATAGTGGGCTGTTACTAGACAAAAAAAAAGGAACTACCAGTATATCCTGTATGTGATTTCTACCTAACTTTAAAACTTTCATCAATGTATTCACTTGTGTAACTCTTTTGATGCCCTTTGCCAGTAAGAGCTTTATCTTAACAATGTTTTAATCTGATTAAGTCAAGTTAATTTGAGTACTGCTGTTGATTAAAGACCAACAATTTATGGAGGAACCCAACATCTGTCAGCATTCGACCTGCCAGTCACCAGTCTGAGGCATAAAGGGAAAATTGCAGATTCTAAATTCACTCAGATAAATGTATCTCTAATAATATTTGTGCCTTTAGGACAAAGTTATGTCGTGACTACGCAGGTCATCGCTAAGCTATTTATGAAACAGAATTAATAAACAGATGTGTGACTATATTTGGTGTCACTGTGACAAATCTGGTTTTGTGCCTTCATACGTATGACAGTTATATAGCCATATGGCTACCCATATCATTGCCTTTATTTCCCCCTAATTTTCTTGTCCTGGAGAGATATTTAAGCAAAGTTCCCAAACCGAATCTTAGGAGTTCCTTTTCACAATTAATTTAGGTCAATCAGATGTCTCTTGGTTTGAAAAGCATTGTCTTGGTTTTATACTGCTGTAATAATACAAACACTTTTCGTGCAGAAACCTGGCATGCTTTGCTTTCTTAACAACCACTCATTACTTCTATGATTGATCTTATGTAGATATTGTACAGTTAACAGTCTTTCTGATGATGGTTGGTGCTTAGTGATTGCTGGGTTGATGCTGGTTGTGTTTATTCACAACTTGCCGTATATTGCCTCTCAAATTACTTTTTCTTTCCCCACCAGCTTTTGCGGACCTCCCTAATCTTATGCAGCACTTGGACAACAACTTCAAGTACTGGAAAGGCCTTGATGAGCGGAAGCTGCACAGCCTGCGACCGCCTCCAGAGTAGCTGCTGCATCGTTGGGACCCTTGCACGCACCTGAAACCAGGGCAGAACCTTCTTTCCGCCTGCTAGGGCGTCTCTCTACCTGTCGGCCCAGGCCACACAGGACGTCCTCGCCTCCACTCTCTTGCTTCTGTAGCACGCAGAGGGCCGACATGTCCGTCCACAACAGAAACCCACAGAGAGACTTCCTGACACTGTTGAATTGCTGGTGGATATACAAGCCTGTGTGATTGGAACTGTGACCGTCGAACAAGGACATCCAGCATATGTACTTCTACACTCGCAGTGTAGCTGTTGGCATGACTGAAAGAGGGGCGAGGGTCCTCACAGGTCCTGTGGCAATGCATTCATCCTTTGATTATCACGGAGGCACTCCCGGGTGCCTGCGAAGTTGCTGTTAGGACTTCAAAACTGTGTCTACACCACGTAAAGCCGTGTAATCACTTTAGGCGTCTAGCTTCTGCACTCGCAGCGAGGCAGGGACGCTCCTAGAAACTTTTGGAGGCCACGTTCATGAAAGTACACTCCGCCGCTTATCTTTTGTTTGTTTGTTTTCAGACAATATTTCCACGTGTTCTACAGTCACACAAAGTTGACACAAAGCTGTAATAACAGCAATGAGAGCAGATTCTTCCTTCATCTGGGTTGGACCTTAGTCCCAGGCCACTGCTCTTAGAAAAAAAAAGAAACTCTATATCCTGGTCATAGATATCTAATTAAAGGTTATTTGGTATGCTAGTTTTTTTTTTTCTTAAAGGTTTCATATTTCCTATATTAAAATCCACCAACAAATTAGTACAAAGGTAAGAACAGAATAATGAAATAAAGCCAAAGCTATTAAAGTCTAGCACTACTATAACACTCAGAAAGAAATTTATAACTATTAGTCATGCAACCTTATTAAGCATTTTTATTTTCTTATCAAGATTACAGTACCAGTTTGAATAGACGAATGAACCCTTTTGTATTGCACTGTATACAATATTCAAAGTGTCTACGTCTCACTGATTTGTGCAGGAACGGGATGTTGCATTGGAGAATAAGCTGTCTTTCTGTTGATCATCAGGAGATCGCCTGCTTGTGTGAACGCGTGTGGGAGTGTGTTTTTTTTTGTTTTGTTTCTTTCTTTTTGGTCGTTGGTGTGTGACTGCACAGGTGTGTTCATTATTGCAGCAATCCCATACTCTTGGTTTGATGCTGTAAAACACGCTTGACATTTTGACAACAGTAGAAATATGTGAAGAAAAAAAAAGTTTTGGACTTGAATAATTTTTTTTTTTTTTTTTTTGGTCCTCCCAGATTTTTTTTGTATCTGGTTTATCCTACTGAAAAAAAAGACTGCCTTATTTTGTACAATATTTATACAGTACACCCCACTGTGCAACTGCAACGGACATCTGGAGTTTTTTCTTATAACACAGTCAGAAGGTTACCTTCAAGTAAATCTCAATATTTTTATAGACGATGAATTTTACACTGGATTTGAAGCAGATGAGATCAACCATAATAGCTATCTGAACACCTGTGAAGGAGAAAGCCACACAGAAGGTGCATATGGAGCTGAAAGGTAAAGCAGGATGAGGATCGCAGCGTTGTCTATCACTGTCTTTAAAGCAGTCTCCTGGAGGCCTGCTTGCATTGATTTCCTTTTTTTTATTATTATGATCAAACATCACTCTATTTTTGGCCAATCATCCAACATCCTTATGCACAGACCCGGGTAACTTATTTTTTGTTAAAGATTGAATTCATATTAGGATACTAAAACATGGATGCTTCATAAAAAGATTTTCTCTTTAAACAGTATATAAATGCCATAACAGCTAAGCAAGTACTGGTTAAAGAGATGCATTAACCACCATTTAATTTTGTTTCTCTCTTATGACAGAATTGTACACTTAATCAGGGGATTTGTTTGTTCCTTCTGATTCACATTTTGGTCTGAAGGCACGGGGGATAATAGAAACTATTCAATGAAAAATAAAATAATGTCAACTACATCCTTGCTGTGTTTTTCCTGCAACAATCTTGTCTCTGTCCTCAAACCCCCTCTACCAGTTTGGGTTAAAAGGTTTGTCACCTTGCCCAGTTTTTTTTTATTGTATTTATTATGATTTTATGCCAGGCCAACACAAAGCAGCATGTGGTTATGGAATGGAAGAAAGAAAAAAATACTCTGTTTTCTAATTATCTGCTTAACACTGTTCCATCCATCTGTACTTACCAACCCTTACTTTATACTTATTTAACTACCTTTCACTGCAGTTATACAGAACTCCTGATGGGGTACATTTTGGCTCTTTCTTATTGGTAAAATATATAGATTCCGTTAGGGAAAAAAATAACACGTTAAAGGAGTTATCCAATTCATACTGTTGATCTGTGCAGCTCCTCCAGAGTCACTGTTGTCCCCTTTGCTGCTACTCCGATTATGGGGTGATATCTCTCTGTTTGCATTTACTTTCTTATCATTTTGGTATTTTTACAGTAGTAGCACACTTTCCATTTTTAGATGCTGGACTGAATAGTATTCTTTGAGATGATTAAAGGGTGGAATATTGTTTTATAATCTTACCTTGCTTTAAACTTCTTCATAACTTCTATTTGTTGACTGATTTTTCTCCAATCAGCCCCAATGTTGGGTTCGCTCTAAAGGTAATTAGCAACAAGAAGTGGTTTCCTAGTTAAAGCATCATGACATCTTTCAGTTTTGTGTCAATATAAAACATAATTATGTCTTACTTTAGGTTAGATTTAACTGAGATGTGTGACATGGGAAGAGACATGCAGCAAAGGACCACAGGTCGGATTCGAACCCAGGTCAGCCACATCGAGGACCAAGGCCTCTGTACATGGGTTGTGTGCGCTATCCATTGCCCCAACTGCTTGCCCTAACTGAGATGTTAAATATATTCCCATATTATGCAAAATTCAGATTATGTTTGTATGGAGTAAGTATGAATAATTTTGCAATGCCGTAAATGAACCGGATATCTGCATTCATTTCTTCTAAGAAAGAAAAAAACCTGACAATTATAAAGTGATTGTATAAAGCTTAAAGTAGTTTTCTTATTCAAGAGCCAAAGCTACATCTCCTGCGTAGATTTAAGAAACCAAATGACCAAAATTAAATCCATTCATCCACCTTCTTCTGTTTACCGGGTCGTGGGGGTAGCAGTTTCAGTAGGGAGGCCCAGACGACCCTCTCCCCAGCCACTTGGGCCAGCTCCTCCAGGGGAATCCCAAGGCGCTTCCAGGACAGCCGAGAAACATAGTCCCCTCCTGCGTGTCCTGGGTCTCCCCTTGGGCCTCTTCCCAGTGGGACGTGCCTGGAACACCTCACCAGAGAGACGTCCAGCAGACATCCTAATAAGATGCGCAAGCCACCTCAACTGGCTCCTCTCGATGTGGAGGAGCAGAGGCTCTACTCTGAGTCCTCCCTGGATGACTGAGCTCCTCACCCTATCTCTAAGATAGAACCCAGACACACTACGGAGAAAACTCATTTCAGCCGCTTGTATCCGGGATCTCGTTCTTTCGGTCATTACCCAAAGCTCATGACCATCCTCCCTAACCTAGGGTTGGGGAGGATGTACTGCCCCTAGTGGAGGACTTTAAATAATAAAAACAGTTGTCTTAATTTTTAAATTAGGTTAGGTAACAAAGACCAAACAATTATATCCCCCCTGGAAATGAAATTTATTTTTTGTTGGATTTTTTTTTTTATTGGAAATCTTTAGAGGGACCATGCTTGGAGAGGACAGCCATCTTTCTTAACCATATGGGGTTTAGGGAACATGGGAGAGAGGACACCAATTCCAACAGATGGGACTGTGCTTGCTGTGGTTTACAGCACCATTGGTTTTTGCTGTCTTTTGCATTAGTAGCATGCAACTCCCTAGATTATTTTCTTAGTTTTTTTGTTTTTTTTTAAGATTCAAAAACAAGCTGTTGTATTTACATTTACATACATATGTCAAACTCGAGGTATCTAGGAGTCTTATTATCCTTAATTAATCAGCCGAAAATGATAAATTTAGTTACCCCACATACTTAATTTTCTCATCTAAAAAAAGAGGTCTTTCTCTCGAAAATGCAGGGAAGCTAAAACTGGATTTTTTTATGAAATGTAGATTTTTTTTTTTATCACGGTGCATGTTTAACATGTTGAATAAATGATTAAATAAGTGATTGATTCAAACATGAAATGAAATTAATGAACAATAGTCTACACTAGGTAAAAGCTCTGCGAAAAAGGATGTTCTCATTGATATAACACATTAAGATGTAGGTCTTCTATTTATTTATTTTTAGATTTGGACTATGGGACTATTTTTATTTGAAAAGACTCATACGGTGTAAACTCGCATAACCTGAGCAACAGCGGTACGGGATTTATATGTAAACCCTTTAAAGTTATATATTTTTCATACATTTTGCGCAGATTGTTCCAGAGACTTTACGTTACGTAACATGGCAACAGCCCAACTTCCGTCAGATCATCTTTGCGACAAAGTCGCAGAGGAAACAGTCAGCGATATCGGACTGATGGCTGCGGTCGTTCGACATAAACTATATTAGAGACAGTTAAAAACTCTTGGATTTTCTGGGGTCGTGCTATGTCTTCGGGAATGACAGGACAAACGCCGTGAGTATAACATTTATTTTAATTAAATATGCTGACATAAGCAACAGGCTAAGACCGCGTAGGCCGTGTTTAAAATATGTACTGCTATGCTAACGGTTAGCGTTAGCAGAGCAACTTGGCCTAGTCGTAGCGGATAAATGAATGCATGTTAGTGTTATTTGTAAGTTTCAAATTTTACTTTTAGGCTATTTTACATATGATTTACATTCTTGGTTTTGTAAATGCTTATAAATACACACGTTGGTGATGTAAACCTACACAGCTAGAAAGGTAAATTTAGATGTGCTAACTCCGCACTAGCTTCACTGTCTTCGGATCGCTAACTAGTTTGTTTGTTCTAATAGTGGATAAAATTATTACTATTGCTCAGAGACACGCGTTTCATCAAATATTAAAGGCTGTTTGACTTGGTTTTAGTTGTAAAATCGAACTATATTTGAGAGGGAAGAAAGGTGTGGAGGGAAAAAAAGATTAATTGACCTGGTATTTCATCATCATAACGCAGCTTTCCTATTAACTTTGACATGAGTATCTAGGTGTCTTCACTTCTTCTCACTTATCTGTCATTGTTTTTTTGCTTTCTTAGCTGCCTAACCAGTCGCTGGGACCAGCCAGCTCAACCTAAAAAGAGTGTTGATGCACGGCAACAGGAAAGTTTTGGAAATGCAGCTCTCCCTGTCTCCTTGCAAGGAGTTGTCGGCTCCGCTGGTTCAAACAGTCCAGCTTCTCAGCCACCTGAAGCCGAGGAAACGCCTAAGGGGGGAGTCGAAAAAGCAACAGCAATGGCTGCAAAAATAAATGCCATGTTGATGGCGAAAGGGAAACTTTTAACTCCTCCGCCATTACTTCCTAAGGTGCATAGTTTTAGCAAACCTGTAAATGAGTCTTTGTCTGTTTTCGCAATGCTAATAGTGACACTTTTTATTCAGAAACCTCCAAGTATCCCGGTACCACCCCCTACAGAAGAAATGGTGGTCACTGAAGTGGATATAAATGACGTACCGCTAAATTGCAGAGAACTGCTTACTAAAGGCAAAACACAGGAAGAGGTAAATGTGGAAAAATGTCCCTTAGTTAATTATATAAAAGTCAGTGTCATGTCTTTTATTTTTAATTTCTCACCCTGTCTTTCAGATCAGATTGTTTAGCGGAGCGGTTGTCTCAACTAAAGGTCTTTACATGCCTGAAGTCATAACTACAGGAGGGTATGTTCCAAATCGAATTTTATATTATATTTTCCATTACTTCTTTTTCAGAATTTGGTGCCTATTTTGTCTGAGTCTATGACAAGAAAAACACTTTTGGGATCCCAACATTATAAGACTTGATCAACACATTTTTCTCTTGTGATTTTGACTGGCTTTAGCACATCAGAGAAATGACAAATAACTTGTTTATAGTAGCAAGTTCTCACATTCACTCTTTAAAACATAAAAAATAATAGTAATAATAATAAACACATAACAATACCAGTGACAGATTGAATTAACATGACCTGGGATGTAAAGCAGTTTAGATTTAAAATTTTTAACTTTAACCCTTATAAAAATACAGTATATTTAAAATTATATGACATGTAAGCTATACTTTAAATGTATGAGTTTGATTTACATTGTTATCATGATTTATTACATACAAATCTCACTCAGTTACTCTAAAGCTATCATAACATTGTCCAGTAGGGTGTTAAAAATAAATGGTAGAATTGTTTGTTTTTTTTTCTTAACGATTTCAGTGAGAAAAGTCAGTATTACCTTTTATGGGGAAAAGGGTTTCCCCTGACATTATGATTTGTTTTCTTTCAGACAAAGACCTTTGTATTTACATGTTCAGGGAAAGACGCAAGAACAGGTCAATAGTAAGTAGAACCTTTTGACTTTATACACGCAAGCAACATCTTGCATAGTTTTCAATGATTTTTTTTTTTTACAAACTTTTCTTAAGCTATTGCACATTCCTCACGTTTCTCTTTTTCCTTTGGGATTTTAGAAGCTGTAATGAGGATAAAGGAGATAATTTCTGAAGATGCGATAAGGGCCTCGGCAGCATCAGGAGGACAGCAGGCTCCTGTAATTCCGCCACTAACACTTTACCCTCAGCCTCCTCGGCCTGTCGTCCCAACTCCTGTGCCACGTGTGCCCAACACAAACTCTGTGCCTGGCCAAGGACATAGACCAGCAGCTCCTCACATAGGGGTAGGCAAACATCTTATTTCTGTTTTAGTCCAAGCAACAAAGCTTCTTGTTGTTTAGATGCCTAGTGTTATCAAGTTCTTTTTATGTCAGTATTGCTCAGACCTCTGTATAAGCAGGGCCTTTTCTCACTTGGTGAAAAAATGACTTTTCCTCTTTCGCTTCTCGCACAATTGTGATATATTTTTTGAGATATTTAGATCATGTGCAAAGCTAAAGAAACACACAACTGGTAATCTAACAATTGAAAAGCATTTTTTCTCTTGTCGTATATAGATATATTTAACTGTTTGGTATTTGTTAGAATTTTTTTCTGTCCTGAAGCACTCTTTAATGGAGGTGATTTTAAGTGAGGTAAATTAAGGTAGTTGCCTTCACTGATTCCCACCTCCAAGATTAACTGGCAGAGAGAACATCCTTGGTTTGCAGTGGAATGCCTCGGGTCGCTGCATCTGCTCACAAATATTTTCTATCTGTGAAATATTTGCCGATTTAACTGGAATGATTTGTTGACATTCTTCTCATTCTTATTATTTTTTTTTTATCTGTCAGAGTTTTGTGCATACCAAAATTTTTGTTGGCCTGGACCAAGCGTTGCCCTCATTCAATGTAAAGGAAAAGGTCGAAGGTCCCGCTGGATCGTATCTGAGTCACATCCAGACTGAGACAGGGGCTCGAGTCTTCCTCCGGGGAAAAGGGTCTGGTTACATCGAACAGGCATCAAAAAGAGAGTCTTTTGAGCCTCTTTATGTCTACATTAGGTATGTTCACTTTTGAAGGGTTCCATAAACCTTTTTAGTAGTGTTGCACCCATACCAGTATCGGACGGGACCCCAAGCTAGCACTAAAATGGTGGTATCGGTATCGACGAGTACCAACAAATAGGGCACCGATACCATTTTGAGAGCCAAAAGTATATTCAACTATTGTCACCCATTCCAGGTAGGCTATAAAAAGTTCTACTGGATTCACCTTGTATTAGTATTTTTCCTGCTTCACAAAGGTAGGCAGCAGCTTGACAAAGCAATGATGGCAATTATTTTACATCCAAGTTGTATGCACTTCTTCATATATATGCACACACATCAATTTCAAACAGATTGTATCAGTATGGTATCGGCCAATACTGCACAGCCAGGTATCGGGGCCTAAAATGGCATCGGCGCAACACTACTTTTTGTATGATGTACAGGAATTTCATCTTTAAATGAAGCAAATAATCAGAAATGGATGTATCCCTCTTGATAATGTGTAGTTTGTCACTGCTTGCTTTGAAACTATGAAATGTCTTTTGCTTTGCTCTGTGTGAATCACTCCTGTCTGCCTCATTCTACTTCATCAATGGTCCTTTGTGTGTTGCAGCCATCCGAATGCAGCTGGATTGGAGTCAGCTAAGAAACTCGCTGAGAGTCTGCTGGAAACTGTAGGTCCCTATAGTAAATTTTACTGTGTTAACCAGAGCTAGAGATTATAATAGGAGGTGTAAGAAGGTGAAACTATTGAAGCATATAGTTTTCTCTGATACTCACCTCCAAAATGAATGGTAGCGTGAACCACCTGATCTCCAGTTATAGATCTTGAGTGCTCTGCACCTACCCACATGGTCATTATTGACAATGAATTGCGGTGTTTAAGGAATTTAGTCATCTCCCAGGTATTTTTTTAGTTATTTTTTCCATTTTTTTCCTGTAGGTGAGAGCCGAACATGCCCGGATGATGTCGATGTACACAGCTACTGGCGCACCTCAGCGTGAGTATTACTTCACAAGTTGAAACTAGAAGGACAAAGTCCAATAAGTTAATCTAATGTCAGATATCAGCTGGCTGAAATGTTCTTTTGATTAAAGAATATTCCCCTGGCATCTTTAGTGGTTGAGTTGGTAAGCCTTTATTTAATTTATTTTGAAATTAATCGTCTATAATTTCATTTCAGCATACGCAGCACATGGATTTCCAACTAATAGCAGTTACTCTAGCCAGGGGTCCTGGTATAACTACCCAGCAAATGGGTATGCTGGCGGCTATGCAGCGTATCCAGGAGCCGGTGGTTATTGGAGTAGTGCAAATGGCCCCCCAAGTCAATCTAACCTGTCGACAACCCCATCTCCATCTTCTCAGGCAATGATTCAGTACCCAGTGTGTCCCAGGAAACCACATCCTTTTCTTGTCCAGGTAATTACTGACTCCTCAGGATTAGCTTCTTATAGTGTTGTCATGTATTATCAGAACTCAAAATCTGTTGTATGTTTTTCTCACATCCTAAATTATTTGGTTCAAACCAGGGAAACTCATTGATTCATTACAACAATGTTTATATTTAAAGTGTTTATTTCTGTTAAACTTGTATTTTTTTTATTATCCGTTACATTTATGGAAGAGCCAAAATCTAGTCTCTATTAGTATAAAAGGTTATCTAGCAAGCCAGACTGATGAGCACTAAGGTCTTGTTCTACCTGGGAGCATCTGGGTTCCCATCGAGTCTGTTTGGGGATACGAGGGGCTTTCAGCAGAGCCGATTGAGCAAAGTGACTGCTAGTGTCCATCTACCAAAGTTTTTTTAGCCCATCATAACAAATAAAAATGTCAGTAGATACGAGAAATAGGGATGCACGATACTGGGATATCCGATATGCCGATATTTTAAAACTCATGTAGCCGATAACCGATATCGATACCGATGTTATAGCTGGACAAAAATAAGTAGTCATTGAAAAAAGCAGTTTTGTTATCCATTTCTGACACTTTGAAAAATAATATACTCAAATATATTTTCATATCCTGATATCAAATTGATTTTTAAAAACGAGGTATCGATCTATTTACTTTCAAAATCTCGTGAAATTTCATCGTTCTGTTACAAACTCTCGTGATATTTTGCAAATTCTTGTGAGATTTTGTTAGTAAAATAGATTGATACCGCGTCAATATATCAACATATAAAAATATGGCAAAATTTTGTGAATTTTCGGGGGATTTCGTAGCATAACGATGACATATAGCAGTATTTTATTAGTAAAAGAGTTTGATATGGTGTTTTTAAATGGCAATATATCAGCATATGAAGATATTGTTATATTTTAATGTATCAATGTTTTTTCCCTCGTCTTTAGAAGTTTTTAATTCTGTAAAAAAGTTTTTGAGGAAGAGAAAGAAGTAGTATTGTTTTTTTTTTTTTAGACTTTAGAAACTCAGAAGCTGATCAAATATCGGGTTAAATATCGGTGGGGTGGCCGATGTCCAATATTCAGTTTTAAGGCCGATACAGGCCGATACCGATAGGGGGCCGATTATATCGTGCATCCCTAACGAGAAACCACCACTGCTTTCACTTATAATACTCTTGCTTTTTATCTTTTAAAGATTAAATAAGGGATTCTGAAAAAAAATTGGTAGCAGCAGCGATGCTTGGATCCTCCTCCGCTGCCATGTTTTCCATTCGGCTGTGGGCTTGGCAGCTCTTGCGTCTAAATATCCCACATTAAACCATTGGTCCCAAATGGTCGAAGTGGGAAAGATAAGACAGCTTGTCATGTGTATGTGAATGTGCTAAGATAAGAAAATGTACTTGTGTAATGTGCAGTTTATGCAATCAATGTTTGGTTGGGGCTCCCTTTGGCTTTAAGTCGCATGGAAGCCATCGGCCTTGGCTGAAAATGGCATATTTGCGGTTCTATGAGCCCTAATGCAAGCCTGGTTAAAAGCCCTAGAATGAAACGACAGGTTTCTTCCTTTTATGGTATGCTCATCAATATTTAGATGAGCTGTGCGCTGATTGGTTGGTTTACAACGAGCAAAGCTGCTGAGAAAACACACATCATAGCAACAAGCACTCACTCACTGAAAAATCAAATTGTGGATATGGTAGGTTGACCAGATGTCCTCCTTTTCTCGGACATGTTCTACTTTTCATACCAAAAAAATGTCTGGGGGGAATTTCAAATTCGTCGGGGATTTTTGTCGACTACAGTGCAGCACGTAGTTGAAACACACCAGGCACTCAAACCGAGCTGTCTGGTCCGGGAATCCCAGCGGACGGGGGCAGCGAGCCAGCGGGGATGGAGGGACTGAACCAGACCCGGTAACGGTAGCCTGGACACCAGCAGCCCCTTGCTTCCCCCCTCCTCTGGCTGAGGACGGGCATCTCAAGGCTCTCTGCTGAGATCTGGTCCAGTCACCGGCCCAGCAGATACCATTTTTTTCTAATTAAATCAACAGCTAGACAAGACATGGGGAAAAAAAACAAAAAAACATGTTGCTCCCAAATTAACTGGTAGGCGGGTCGCTGCATCTGGTCGCTGCATCTTGGGAGATAATTAGATGAAGAAGGGCAACAATGTTAAATTGCATAGCTTAAAAAAATAATCACCCTGAACCTAAACCAAGGTTATGTTTCTTTCTTCTATACCACACTGAATGGTTCATTAGTGTGCTTGGATTCAGCTCACTGTGAGCAGCCATCTTTATTAGGAATAAACAGCAAGGTTTTCCACAACATTGTAGTAATATAACTTAAGATGTAAACATTAATTTTGTTTTTTCTGAAAATCGATGTATTTAGGGTTTTCATTCACTGCAATTATAATTAATATAAACACTTTAAATATATTCTTGTGTTTAATGAATATATATGTTTGACGATGAGACACACTAACAGAAGAACATCTGAGTTATTTAGAATACATTGATCATTCGAATCGATGGTCACCTTTGAGTGGTTGCAGTATTTTGTTTATTTTACGATGCTTTGAATGGCCTGGCCCCAGCAGTGTACATATGTTGGTTGTGCTCTACTTAAGGATCCAAGCAGCGGTGAGACAGTGGAGCCTGAAGGATGTTTAAACACCCCCCCTGACTCAGGAAGTCCCAAACATCAGCTCCAGGAGGGGGCTAAGGATGAGCAGGTTAGCTGGAGCATTGACGCCTCGATACACGGATCCAAGCTCATTCTGTCCGTGCTAAAGCTTTGGATCTGTTTGGATTTAGAAAGCTTCAGGCATCACTGGTACACCTGGAAGCTCAATGTTGTATTTTAAATCAACATTTTGCTGCAAATCTTTCTATTCCTTTAAATTGTTTTTTAGAATGTTTTCTCTATGTTTTAATATTGAACAGACCTAAACGGTTCATTTGATACAGTGATTAAAAAAAAAAAGGAATCTTTTTTACAACCTCAATATCTTAAGAAAATATTCAGTTTTAATTATTGCAAAATTGTAAAGTTTAAAGAATGTTCGACTCTTTGAAATATATGCAAAATGATGAACTTGTATTTAATTATGACTTTGGTCATAAATGTAATGAGTATTTTAAAAATATTGAAGTACCTTTATGGAGAAAACCAAATGCTTTTTTTTCTCTAAGGCAGTAGCCGATACCAATGGTTTTCGCATCAGATCTAACTGATCACTGATATATGCTGTCGATCCTTTGTTTTTAATCTAACATTTTTCTAATGTTGCACATATCTTCACTTAAAGAGAAATAAACAATTACTACCAAACCAAAAAACATCAACAATTAAGAGCAAATAGAGCAGCAGTGTATGCACTTTACGTGGCCTCCAGGCATGCACTAATGCACTAATGAATCTGCAAACTTTTACAGGTATCACACAATAAAAGGGGAGGGGCATACATATTGGCCTACCTCTATTCACAGCTAAGGATTATGTAGCAACTCCTACGTGTTAGAATATAAGGGTGACCCGTTTGACTTCCTCTCTATTTAATACCTCCAGCTGGCTGCAGCCTTACTACAGTCTGAACATGGTTTTTATTTTGTTGAGAAAACAGAAGAATTACCTATTTATGCAGCAATAGGCAAAAAAATTGCATAAAGAAAATCTCAGGCGTGGTCCACCCTCTCAATTTAACAATCTTAAATGTTTTTTGTAGCCTACCAGCTGCCCTCCAGAGGGTCCGGCTCACCTGGAGTCCACCCTTCCTTCATCCAGTGTAGGAGAGGAGAAAGTCGTAGAAAGGTCTGATTTCTAAACGTTCTTTCATCTTTCTTGAGATGATTTTTAGGTATAAAACTTTATTTATTCTCTTCAGGATTTTGATGCCGCCTCCACCACCACCCTTTGTGGTTACTCCCCCCGTTGCGCGCAAGAGGCCAAGAGAACCAGAGCCAGAAGACCCATCTAGTCCACCGCCCAGCTCCTCCGCATCAACGGGTATGCGTTTCTTTTTTTCCAGAATATTCCGAGAGCCTGAGAGCTCAAGCATAAACTTCGGTGGAGTTCTGTGTTGCATGTGGTAGCATCTCCCCCCGTGGATCCATGGGGGAGGAGTGGAGACCTGTATGAATCGCACCACAGTTGAAACTCGCTAACACGCTCTTCTTGTATATGTTTTTTGTCTTTCCCTTGTTTTCTCTCTCAACATGTGTCCACGGACGTGCCTGTAATGGATGTGTGCTGTGCTGCCGTTTGATTTTGATATCTTCCCTCCCCTGGCCCTGGATCAAACCAACTCATAAACCTCGGCTTATGTGGGGCTCCTCACTGGGTTTCCATTTGGTTTTGTTCTTTCTCTTTGGCCCCCCTCCCCCTGTTTCTTCCCCACCTTCCCCTTTTCTCTGTTTCTTTTTCTCCTATTGTGCTCCTACAGGTGTTCAGGAAGAGGTGTCTGTGAAGAAGACTAAAGTGAACGCTGATACTTCTGGGCTTGTGCCCTATGGGGGAGATTCCTCAGATGAAGAGGATGAGAGGACCCACAGCAGTAAGACAGAAAACCTATAACCTCTGTCCACCTCATCCCCACTGCCCTGTGATTTTTACTGACCAGAAGGTTCCACTTCAAGTATATTCTCAGAACTCTTTAAAGTCACAATAAAAGCAGAAGTCTGCCCTGAACTGCCTATACCAGCATTTTGATATATTTTCTTGTTTTTCAGTGGTTTAGCTTTTATTCTTTGAGAATAAGTTTTCATCCTAGTTCTACAAGTTCAGTGAAAATTTCAGTTCATAAAAAATAATTATTTCAAGTAGGTTGGCAGACTTCAAAGAATAACATACAGTATGTGATTTATCACTTAAGCTGCATAGGTTAGATGCATTCCTGTGCTTTACTAATCGAAAAAAAAAATCTAATTCTTTTGTTCTTCATGTTGAAGTTGGCCTCGCAAAAGAAAGTCAGATCTCTCTGTTTATTTTTAAAGTAGGTCTTTGCTCTCAAATAAAACTTAATCTGATGTAAATAGAAATGAAGCCCATGAATAGTTCACAGCTTGCTTGTAGTCAGATATAACTTTGAACTCTTTTCACTTTAACCTGACTCAAAGTTAATACAGGGGATTAAGTAAAAGCAAATCCCAACCACTGCACTTGTCAAAATATGGAGGTACACAGGGCGGACTTAAGATGTAAATCCAGCTGTATATTGACTTTTTTTCCCCTCAAACTTGTTTTAAAAAGTCCCATATTTCCCATTTTTGTTTTTAAACATCTGGTCTTGCTGCAGTTGCATATGGTTTAAATACATAAACTTCAGTGGAACCTTTTCTTATCTTGGAAAATGGTGAATGCCTGTTCCCGTGGAATACTATAATAAAACAAATACAATACCTGTTTTGTCTTTATTAATGTAATTCTGTCTGTGGAATTCTCATTGTAGCACACAAAGAATGTCACACTATTGAGAAGTAATGCAAACTTAGCTGTCTCATAATATTGTTAAATCAACTTCCTGCAGTCAGATAAATGCATAGTCAGGAGCTGCTATGCCATTGTGTAGTGTAAGAGCTCCTGGGTTGTCCAGGCTGAAACAGGGGTGAACATAATTCTGGAAGTGACAATGGAAGGTGTGCAAATGTTGCTCTAGATTAGCGTTGAAAAAGCTCAGTGTTCCCCTGTCGTAGTTGAGAGCCACTCCAATCCGCAATGGATGCGCTGTAATCCTCAGGTCTGGACTCCAGCCATTATGCAGGAACTCATATTTGTGTCTAAAAGCAAAAAGGACAATGTAATGTTTTGGGGGGGGAGTTCTGTTTTCCTCTAGTGTCTTTGCTGCACAACATTAAACCAAAAAAAAATGCTGCATAAAAGTTTGTGTAGGCAGGATGAACATGCTGCCCACAATGGGAATCACATTTGAAGCTTGTACGATACACTGATCTAAAGGTTTCTCTAAATGTGACAATTCAAGCATCCTGGCATACCAGAGAGGTTGCTATGGAAACTCATAGAAGGCAACATACTTCTTTGTCCCTCCTTTAAGCTTAGGCTTTCACATAGCTGATGCCCACTTTTTTTTAGGTTGCTTAGGAAAGGGAAATATCTAAAAATACAGTCCTGCCCCAGTTTCTGTGGTAATAATCCCTTTGAGGATCAATGCATTAATGCTGATAGATTGGATATTAAAAATCTGCTTGGTCTTCAGTGCTGTTAAAATGAGAGCCAGTTTATTTTTGCAATCTGCTTGGTCTTCAGTGCTGTTAAAATGAGAGCCAGTTTATTTTTGCAATCTGCTTGGTCTTCAGTGCTGTTAAAATGAGAGCCAGTTTATTTTTGCCTGCTTGTACTAAAATAAATGATTAGGCAGCAAACTTATACCCCAGAAAAAAGTAATACATTCCTGAAGAAAACAGGTTTTCATACGTATACCTTCCACGGATGCACCTGGTTTAAAGTGTTTACAAAACCTCATGAAAGTTTTTAGACACTTGATATCAAAGTCAATATAAATATTGACTTTTATGGAGAGCATCCAGTATTATAAAGTAGTCACATAAGCTACCACTTAAAATGGCTAAAATACACAGCTTTGTCAAATTCAAGACCATGTTTGGCATTAGGCTTTTTTTTTTTTTTTAAACCACAGATACTTTAAGTCTGAATGTGAACAAAATGGTGAGATGAGGCCTGTGTCACTGAGCAGAAAGGTCTTCAAATCAATGGCAATGGCTGACTGTCCAAGCTAGTTCAAGAGCAAAATGCAACAAACACTCCAAAACCTATAAAGTTCCTCACAGGTCCTAAACTGACTAGTGTTATAGCTTTATTTTTGGGTTAAAAGAGGAACCCTTTGATGTTTGAGGAAAAAAAAACGCCCATCTAATATTGGTCAGAGAAAACAAAGCTAAAATGCAGCGTTTGAGGAAATTTCACAGCAACTGAGGCATGAGGGCGGGCACTTTATGTAAAAGCCAAGAATTTCACAATCCATCTGAAGCCTGATGCAGAAATTGTTATGCAGCCGATAAAAGCTGGACCCTGTAAGCAACAATGACCTAAGAACTATAAAGGACTTGCTTAAATTTAAGGAAGAACAGCCAGAAACATTCCTTGAGGTGATGTGATATTGGCTCTGCTAACTTTTTACCCATTTATTTATATTTTGCAACTGACACCACTTCCCAAAATTGGACAGTACAAAAAAAAACCCAAATAGGTATAATTCTTGATCAAAAAACACTTTTTTGTTACCTGGATGGGGTGCGAATGTGTCTCATACACCAGGAGCTATTGTTTGCCCCGAGGTACGAGTCCCTGTCTGCGTCTTTGTACGCAACTCCAACACGAAACTCCGTCTCATCATCCACCTCAACTTCCCAGTAGTGCCTGCCTCGCACTGGGATAAGGTCTCCCAGTATGGCCACACATCTGTGCATGAAGACAAACACATCTGCATTAGGAGTCAAAAGTTTCTATAGCATTCAGTCATACAAGCTAATGTTGAATATTTAACCTTGTGAAAGTATTGTCTTCAAACGCCATTGCTGTTATGGGCAATTCCTCATCTCCATAGAAGATAGTGAAGCCATCTTCTGACATGGAGAGGCAAGGATGAGCAGTGTCCTCCAGAAGATAGAAGAATGTACCTGTTCACACAATAACACACAATACAAGCCTGGTTAGGATATTTTTTTAATGTGAGACCCTATTTCTAATATCCGTCATAAAATCCATTCAATATTTATTTAAATGCATTCATTTGTCAAGTTTGGTTGTTTTTGTACTGAGATATAAGCAAAGCTGAAATGTTATTTAGTAATTTGATTGTTTTTAGTAGGAAATTAATTTCATTTGCATTAGAAAAAGCTGTAGGAGGTGGTTTATCATCACTGAGGTCCTTCAGTTTTTGTTCTTGTAAATAGCATTCTGTTGTCCCTGGAAATCTGAAACCTGCACTTTTCAGGCACCTATTTAGAAACCTACTTTTGACTTTGCTGTTCATGCAAATGACATGATCCTCAATAATGAAAATCTATAAACTTAACATTTCTTTAAAAACAATTCTGAAGAAGATTCTCTACAATCAACAAAGGACATATTCTGGAACAACAGAACATTTTAGAAGTTTAACAGTCTTTAAGTCTTCACAGTAAAGTAAGCAAATAAAAACTAAATTTTTTTAAAAGTAAATGCTGAGCAATCAGACAAAGGTATGGTTGGCCCAGCATTCTATCCAAAATAGTTAATAAGTTTAACAATGTTTTAATTGATCATAGAAACCATAAAGATCATGTAGCTACATTGCAGTACTTGAAGAGGTGTGCTGCACATAACTCGTAATTGAAAAGAGGGATTTGTGTCGTTAATAGGGTATTTTAAATGAAAAGCTCTGAGTGAATTGTCAATCATTTTATAAAATCACAGAAAGACTGTAAGCAAGGTTGTTTTGTTTTCTACCTGTTGTGGAGATGCTTATAGGTTCACTCCTGTCACTGGGACCACCAACGTTGACAGCTCTCACAAAGATGAGGTAATGTCGCCCTGCTTGCAGCTGGATCATACACTGACAGGTGGGCACAGCTACTATAGACCTGGAAATATCATACGAGGGGAAACAATACTTCTTTCTTAGAGGGTTTTTACAGCCTAGAAATTGCACTGTACCTAACTTTGAAATACTGAATAAATAAATTTAAAGTCTTAACTTGGAGCTTCAAATTGTATTTTGCAACAGGAGGATAAAAGATAGCAATGACCCCAAGTGAGGACACATAAGGAAAACACTGCTGCAGGAGCTAAAGCTAAAAATAGATTTTCTGGAATAGAGGACATCTTGATTCAGCAGCTGTAAGACCATGGGGCCTTGAAACATTTTAAGGCAAGCACAACCCAGGCTCTTTATGAAGGTAATAACTAAAAACGATCCTTTCAACAAAAGCAGATGGGTATTATTACCATAGGTTGCAGAACTTTGCAAACTTTTATCACCTTGCACGGCATTTCCTTCTATATTTAACATGAACATTTCAGTTTATTGCCTGGTTTATTAAGCAAGCTTTAATAGGGTTTTAAAAGCTTTGCTCTTACTCGGTAATGTTGCTCTTTGCACCACCAGTTCCTGTCTCACTGAGCTCCACAGTATAGGAGTCTACAGGGTTGGTGTTCCCCGACTCCCATCGGATCAGAGCAGCTTCTGGGCAGCTGCTGCACTCCCTCTGCTTGATCACAGGAGGCGACGGCACTATGGAGACAAAGCTTGGACTGTCATTTATAGCCTCAAAAACCTCCGACTCCAGGCTTACTTTATCGGCTCATTCATTGAAAAAGTTTTATTACTAAGTAGGGTTTTAAACGAAAAACAGTTGACATAAACACATTTTTTTCCAAATTCCACATTGATTCCTGCAATCAACCACCTGAATATAAATCTTCATTAGGTTTGCTGATCAGGTGCAGTTTCAGGCAAACCTGAGTATGTCTTAGACACTTACCTCAGAGACCAAATTTTAGAAAGACCAGAGAACTTACCATGAATTCCGATTAGAGATAATTGCATTAAAAAGAAATGATAGCAAGGCTCTGAATGTCTGGAGAGACACAGGTGGAGGGTTAGTTCACATGTTTAAAGTTGAAGCACAGACCGCTACACAACCAGGACATTGTTGTTGAGGAATTAAGGGGTTAAATTAGATTCCTGAGGAGAAAACCCTTAACTGGCTGGAAGAAGGCATGCAGGAAGACTTCAGAGGTTTTATTTTCTGCATAACTGGACTGCACACTTAAAATCTCTATGCTTCCAACATGTTAACCACCACTGACCCAAAACCACAAGAAAAGTCCCCTCTGATTTCTGTTCTGTGGAAAGATGAATAAAAACATGAACTTTTGGATTAGCAGCATTTTCATTACCTGTCATGTATAATGTCTTCTCACTAGCTGGGCTGATGCCTGTTGTGTTGGTCGCCGTCACCCAAAGCTCATACTGTGCATTAGGGAGCAGATCAGTCACAGTGCAGTGAGTCTCCTTCACTTTGATCTTGCTTTCTGAAAGAAAAAAAAAGTTGTATATCGGCTAAATAAATTCAGGAAAAAAAACAACTGCTTTATCTGTTAATGCTTCCATAACTCTGCATGGATTTATCTAGCAGAGTAAAGCAGATTGAAGAAAGTCATACCCTGTGGTGCAAAGGTATTCTCTGCAGACACATCCTCCAGCACTGGTCTGTAGTAAAGCTCATAGTACTCAACCGTGTCGTCAGAGAATAAACTCCAGCACACATGGAGGGATGTCTGGGTGGCTGAGTTGGGCAGCTGGGGGTTGATCACTGGTGCAGACGGAGCTGTTTTTTCAGAATGCACACAAACAATAAATCATTCACTTATCAAAATACCAAAAATGTCATGTATCAGAGTAGCTTTATCTACAGTAGACTAGCATAAAATTATCCCATGTATGAGTATAAATCATTGGCTTATAATTGATAATGGAATAGAGTAATATTTCCAGGAGGCAAGTTAGCATGACTTGTACAAACAAGAAAAGGGTGGTTAAGGTTGAATTTATTGAATTTTCCCCGATCAACACAGGATCAAAATTAAAAAACTGGGTTTAAATATACCGAAACACCAAACTAATCTTTGCTAAAAATGCCCCTCAGCAAACATTCCCTCAACCACACCCTTTTCATAGCAATTGACAATCTTCAGCCATCTTCCTGACTGATTATTGGACTACAGTGAAGGTATATGATCTACCTTGGGAGGTTTTCCTGTTATGGAAAAAAACACACTTTTAAGCATAATGCATAAACCCACCCTCCTGAGGTCTGGGCTTTGGGAAGGCTGCATTAGAAGTTTAATGTCCACCTGGTTTATCCATTTAAAAACCCAGTGTGATGTTTGTCTTTGCATTCTGGTCAGAAAAGTCAGAAAAATCTCAGCTGTCTCTTTGAAAGACATGTTATGGTTGGATGAGATAAAAAGTAAGCAATTTGGCCACAATAACTAAGACTGTAGGAGCAGAGGTTAATCTTCCCGATGTAAGGACAATAAATAAAGCATGGTAGTGGTAGCATCATGCTCAGGGTATGTTTTAGTCAGTTTGTATTGTTGAAGTTGATGGAGTTATAAAGAAGGGAAACTCTGTCCAGTTCCCTTACCTTCACCTCAACAAAACACTATGGACGCAGTTTATTGCGCCAACAGAACAAAATACTGAAACTTTGGAACAGGTCAAACAGTAATAAGCTATTGTAACAGCTCTACTCTCCAACCGTGCTGAACTTTTAAAATAATAACCAAGCACTTAAAATGAGCTGTACTATTTCTGTTAAGAAGAGAGTTTTAAAATCCAGTCAGAGTATTTTTCCAGACGCTTGTTGACGAGCAGTGTTGGGTAAGTTACTTTAAAAATGTAATCCGTTACAGTTACAAGTTACCTTGCTTAAATTGTAATTGTAGTGTAACTTTTTCGATTACTTTTAAAAAGTAATGTAACTAATTACTTTTGATTACTTTTTGTTTACTTTAAGGTTTTAATGAGTATTGACCCATGTTCAACATTTAATTTTTGAGAACTGAATGTGAACCTTAAAAAAGCACTAAGCTGAGAGGGAACTGCTGACAGGCTTCGTCTATCAGTGAGTTGCACTAACCTCTAAATGTTTCCTCAGGTTTTACATAGATTGCTTCGACGTGGACAAGTTCTTGATAGCCGGCAAACACTTCTTGCAATGCACGGTTAAATTTGAGCCATTTTCACAGATGTAAATGAAATGCTCCCTAAATTTCCAGTGCTGGAAGGCTGTCATTTTTGAAGCGCTGCCTGAGCTGAAATAGAACCGTCCGCTCACTTGCTGTTCCTCAAGGAGGCTCCACCAGCACAGGATGGATCATCAGAGTGGCAAATATGATAGAGACAAGGAGCTGTAGTGGGAAACGGCGATACAGGGAACGAAGCAATAAAAATATAATAACATATTTCGCAAAGGTTTTTCTTTATATTTAAAAAAAAATGTAACTAAATTTGTAATTCTTAATATTTTCGGAAGTAACTGTAACTGAATTACATATTTTCTCATTGTAACTGTAACAAATTACAGTTACTCTGTTTTTGTAATTAAATTACGTAACGTCGTTACATGTAATCCGTTACTCCCGAACACTGTTGACGAGGAACATTCAGCCAAATAAGTGACGGGGGTGTATTTATACCTATATGTATGCTGTCTACCCTGTGTCAATTAGAGGGAGTTCTATAAATTCAAACATGTGCATCAAGCAGATTTTTTTGATAATTCTGGTCTCTCAAAAAAAAAGGTTTAAATTGTTAATTTAAAACATCAATAAAGGGAAGGCATGTTAGAGTGCAGCTTTTGTTGAATCCCAATTTCAGAACCTTTGATAGATGCATTTCCATCTTTTTATCCTATCTTCCAAATTATTAAGTTAGGACACTAGTGCCAGAAATAGAAAAAAACCCTCTTCTAATAGAAAAATCGAGGCAGCTATAACGACATCTACAAACATTTCAGCTTTGTAGATGTTCTCATTTGCTTTTAAGCATTTCCTCCAAGTTATTTAAAAAACTGTAATGTGTTAAATAAACATTGGTTTTCATTGTCTTATTATACATTTCAGTAAATAGATATACTGTGTAACTAATGCAAGAAATCTATGAAATGATTTAGAACTCTGGCTGTCACAATTATCATTAACGGCTCAAAGTTATGTAAGACTTCTAAGTTTAAAATGCAGTGCCCTATGCTGATGATGCTCTGGTTTACTGCAATATGTGATGAGCTGATAAATCACACCTGGAACAATATTGATGGAGTCCATCATGGTTTTCACATCTGACAGATCAGCAATGGGTGTGCTGAATTCAAGGCCTGTAGACAGCGCGAGGTCAACCTCTTCTTTGGCAAACTCCTCGACTCTAGTGAAGCATGGAGGTCATTCTTATAAATCACATGATACTAAAACAATGGCGAATATTCAAGGTTCATGCTATCTGGATCACACACAAACTTCTGACTTGAATATGAAAATAAATCATGACATGGTCATAGTCAATTGCCTTAAATGTTAGGTTTCCTATAATCACTCTTCAGTCATTGGTAGTGTCACAGCATGCATCCACACAGAGCAGCGTAATGATTACCTTTTAATGGTGGGCATAACTGTCTGTCAACAAAAATCAATAGGAAATCTATCAAACAGGAAGCTTTTATATTAAAAAATAACACATCAGCTGTAGTTTTTATACATTTGGAACTAATAATAAAATGGTTTAATTTAGTTTGTGTAAGTAAATTATGGGGGGACATTTCTCTAGGATGAGGCACCTTTAGGAAAAGTCTCTTGTCCTGACAGCGGTAAATCTCTTTGGCCGTTTCAATGAGTTCCTTTGAGGCGTCCAGGGCCTGACCACAGACCAGCAGCTGACTGTACAGGGATTCCAGTTTAGCCTTCTTCTCCTCCTGCAGTCCACTCGCCCTCTCATCATAGCGCTGAGACAATGTCTGCAGCACATCATTGTAGTGCTGCTCCAAGTGCTGCTCTCGACGGCCAAAGTTCTCCTGGACAAACATTCAGGCAATCTGATGGGGCTGCAGCCTAACACATTAATCTCTATATTAATCTCTATATTATATAATCTCTATATTATATTAATATAATAAATATTATACAAGATCATGTGTAACAAATATTTTATATATGAATTTTATATATATTATACTATATAAATATATAATATTTGTTAGCCATAATCTTATAATATATTAATATAAAACTTTGTGTTTATCATATTAATATTTAATTGCAAAACATATAACTTTGCATATATTTCATCCAGTTTGAGGCCAGTTTAAATAGTTTCTAATCTGAATAAATATGTGTAATCCAACTGAAAGGTAATTTTTTTCCGTTGTGGCTTTTACACATATATATATATATATATATATTGCGGCTTTTGTATTTGTCTTGCGGCTTTTGTAATTGTGTTGCAGCTTTTGTAATTGTGTTGCAGCATTTGTATTTGTGTTGCAGCTTTTTTAATTGTGTTGCGGCTTTTTTAATTGTGTTGCGGCTTTTGTAATTGTGTTGCGGCTTTTGTAATTGTGTTGCAGCTTTTGTTTTAGTGTTGACACCTCTGGGCCACAGTGCTCTAGTAATGGGTACATGGAAATTGAACTGAATTGAATAACATTTTTAATTTAAAAACTTAAACTTTTATCAATCAAAAAGTAATTTTTAACTTTTTGATTGATAAAAGTAAAGGTTGATAAAAGTAAAGGTTGACCTTTGATGACCTCTAGAAATATTTCTTTATATCTTTAAAACGATAGCGGCACAAACATTTTTGCTGCACAAACCAGCACAAACGTTTGACACTAATTTTGTCTGATTTGTAGAAGGTGGGGGGGCCAACTTCATTCAGGTCGCCACCGGGCCCTCTCCACCATCGGTAGGAAATGAAGGTGAAGTGCCAACCCTTCGATTTTAGGTCAACACCTACACTCGACACCATTGTCACGCCGACAGGAGCTCATCAAAGCAGCTTAGGTGTCTTGATGAAAACAGAGTAAAACTAATTACGTCAGTCTGACTATAATTTTTGTTTTGTTTGTTTTTTCTAGTTCATCAAGTTTAAATGTGATCATAAGGGAGTTAATTAGAGGAAATACTGGTTTATAATAGGATTTTATTCTGTAGTTCGATTCCTTACTACCTTCCAGGCAACAAATTTATGTTATTAAAAATTTTTGCATGTTATTATAAAAGTTAAATGCTCAAATTAAAACATTAAGTAAAATAGTCTTTATTTATATTTCCGTTATTGTATGTTCCACTTTTCTTAAACACAATGTTTTGTTTAAAAAAAAAAGTATCGGTTAAGAGGTGGGCATTTTTTGTGGTAATTAACTAATCAGTTGGACCAAATTACATTCAGATTTAAATAAAATACATAGATCCTGCTATATTCTATTTAAAATACAAGAGCTGAAGGTTTTAATATGAGTTTTTACTTAAGAAGGCATTTTAATTTCCAACTTACAAAGAATAATTAACCAAATCTTATGGGAGGATACGTTTAGTTTCATACACTATGGGTTGTTGATTATTTATTCTCCAGAAGCACAGTATTTATATTGTAAAAACATTTTATTTTTTAACTCTGTCCCTAATTCTGTTCTATACTATTCCATTCTATTAACTGAAAACTGTAGGTTACAGAAATTAAATTCAAACACACTAAAGTTTACAACAATTGTTTGAGCACTATAGCCCTTTCACATTGTGAATAATGAGTGTTTGTACGTAGACTTAACTAAAGAAAGATGAGTACCAAATTCCACATATATATTGCGTTATTTAATTAATAAAGAAAACCACTAGAGTTTTTACCTCCACTGTAAGAAAGATTTCCTCCAAATGACCGGCAAAGTTCTCCATTTCAGTGACCTTACCCTGCAGCTGATTTCTGATGGAGATGATCTCATCCTAAAAGCAAGTGAAAGTCAGGATTCAATCCTTTCAAAACTACAACGTACTTTATAGAAATGAGAAAATAACAAATAGAGTTGAATCAATGATCAAATAGTTGAATCATTTCTGCATGTCTAATAAAAGTGTATTTTACTGTTACTATCTCTCAAATTTTAACATCTGTTAGAGTTTTTGTCTGTTATTTGCAGAAAAAAAACATTTTAAAGCAGTTTATTGAAAATCATTAAACAGATTTTACTCCTTTAGTGTTAATGCCCCCACCTCATATTCTCCTTTGTCAAACACATCATCATGTCCGTCTTCTGCCCCAGTGGGGGACGGGCAGCTGTCTTCACATGGCTCAAAACGCAACGATTCATTGGTGTTGACTGAGAACCTCTGAAAGGTTCTTTCTCCAGGCTCTGGAACAGCACGGTATGCCTCCATGGTGCTCGATTGTCTGCTGAAGTCCTGCTGCTCGCCTTCTTCAGCAATCACATTCAGTCTGCCCCCAGTCAGGTCCATAAGAACACAGGTCCCAAGTGGATGATGGCAATCTGGAAATGATAGATTATGCATATAAGATTAATTTAGATCATCTTCTAAATAATATTAACATGTAGATCTATAACCAACTTTTAAAAACAATACAACATTTTGTAGTTTTTAGTGACTTGCTTGTGTATGAATAAATAAGTTGAATTGGAAAATTATTGAACAATTAACAAAAGAATAACCGGAATGACTCAATATGATAATAACAAATCCTGACCTGTGTTGATGCCTGACAAGCAAACTTTGTGAGAGGTCCAACCCTGAAGCTGTGACTAAAATAGATGGAGCTCACACTGCTCATGTGACACAGCTATTTCAGACATCTACAGGGAATATGTGTTATATGAATATATATTAAAACGAATTTAAGACTAACATGGCAGGGAAAGAAACAAAATGTTAACAATGACAATAAAAATCACCAAGACTAATTTTAAAATATTATTTAATATGGAAATCCCCAAACATGTGATTCAAAGGTTAAAGTTGAACTCAAATCAGGATACTGTGGGACGTTCGTGAAACCTCGGGAATTTGCCTTAATATCCCAAAATAAATATTTTATTTGATTTTCATCTAGATATTAAACTGCTTGTTAACTGTGTGTCGAGTTAGCACTATTTCATCTTTAATATTGGTCTTAAATCCGTCCATTTAAGTTTTATTACAGTTTTACCTGTATATGCCGTAGTCTATTTATTACGCCTACTAATTAATGACACATATTTTGTGTATTTTTTTTCTTCCTTTCATATGTCTCGTACATATTTTAATGACATATGACAGTAATGAGTTTGCTAAAAATAATTTTTCATTGTTTAAGTCCTGATCATATGTGCTTTCATAATTTCCGAGCTTTTATGTGATACGTGAAGCCATCATCCGTCAGACAAATGGCGGACGTTGTAAACAGAGCTAGCAGCGTCACCGGGGCCACAGCGAAAGTCCTGTTTTTAACATGGACAGCGTAGAGTTTGAGCGTCTGGACAGCTTGGAAGGATGGGTGGCCGTTAAAAGTAACATTTTTGAAGAACACGAGCCCTTTAAGTTGGGTTTCATCGTTCAGTGGAACGTTATCGAGTCGAAGTTCGCAGTAACCTGCCACAACCGGACGTTACAGCGACAGAAACGTAAGGCTGAGCTGCCCTCGGCTGGCGAAGACCCCCAGATGAGCTGGGCAGGACTGTTCTCCGTAAACGACCTAAAACACGTCCACCAACAGTTCACATGCGTGGCGGACGTCCTGGGGGGCTGCTTCCCGGATTTGTCCGACTTTGAAGAAAGTAACATTTGGGATTTGCTGCTGTTGAATCGGAAATCCGGTGCAGAGGATGACGAACGCAGAGACTTTGACGCGCCGTGCAGGAAACTGGAGAAATACTTCAGCACAGCCATTGACCTCTGCGGGAGAAAAATCGTCCTGGAAACTTTATTTACCCAGGATGAGCGGGACGTTGATGAGTACTTTGAAAACATGCAGGAGTTTAAAAAGAAGAGCATGCAGGAGGAGATGTCAAGAGCCAAAACTCACCTGAAGGAGGTGAGGAGAGGCACTGCTGTCATATCTGTGCAGATCAGTCACAGATTATCATTAAATCATCCTTTATTGTCCCACAATTTCCCCATTGTGGGACAATAAAGTGATTTTCTACTTGATTCTATTAGATTTTCTGATCTGCCATTTGTTTTCTTTCCATATAGAATAGAAAAACAGTAGCAACCAATATTTAAGCATCTATTTTGTGAAACAGCTGTTTTCTATCATCAAGACCTGCTTTACTCATTTTGTTTTTGTTCCTGAATCTCCTATTATTGTTCAGCTTTTAGCAAATAATTCCCTCATCTTTCTGCTTTCCATATGCTAAATGTAGAGCTTTCCTTAACCGCTGGGGAAGTTTGTCTTCAGATGTTGTTTTGTGAAAATCTTAACTTTCCTGCAACAGAATCTTACAACTTATCAACATCTTTCCACATTTTCTCATGCATGACCAGTGAGCACTATGATTTAAAAAACGACATCACGATAACAAAAATATTACACAAGTCTCAATTTGAACAAAAAGAATAAAAGATTATCAACAAATCAAAGAAAACATTAACAAAGGATGACAAGTGAAAGGAACAACAATGCAAGTATTAATAAAAGTATTAATCTCATGTACTTATTGGCCAGAAAATGCAAATATTGGCTCAAAATATCAGCTGGCTGATGTATTTGTCTATCTCTTGTTACAATTTAAGTAGTGCATGTAAAAAAAAAAAAAAAATTTGAATAGGCATAAAGACCTGAATAAATAGTTTATATTTTGCTTGTTTCCATCCCCAAACAACATATTTGTTAATCTGTCAAATTATTTCCACGCTTTGGCTTTAATACTGTAAAAATGAAATATATGTTGTTACAATGTTTGAGTTGTTTTGCCTTATTAATGGAAAATGTTATTTTAGAATAAGTATTACTTTATACATTTAGTTTACTTTGCTGTGTTTTCTCAGGCAAAACAGTTGCCTGTTTAAAGAGCGCCCCACAGTGGCGGTGGAAAGATCTAAGATCAGGATAGAATGATCTTTCCTGCTTTCAAAGACTGAATAAAAATGTTAACTAAAAGAAAATGGACACCATAGAGGTTGGTTGTTTAAGCTGATGAATGAGAGGGATCATAAACACGATTGAAACACTAGACTAAATGCAATTTTATCCACACTAATAGTCTGATATATTATTCTTCGTTAGGTGCTACACTTATTAAAAGCACATGTTTGTGTTTCAGGGTGCTTTTTTTGCAATCACTATAAAAAGTAATCAGCCTGTTTGGATATTTGATCCTTTTATTGTTTTTGTTCTTGAAATTATGCCTGATATAATTTCAAGTTTTGAACCAGAATTTAAAAGAAAGTAGTTCTCAATGTCAAAGTGAAAATTTGGTTTTACAAAACTTAGTAAACTAGTTAAAAATGATAAGAAGAAGTGAATGATTGCCTCAATATTCAGTGAGGTGTGGATTTATTTTCATTAGGGATAGTGAAAAATCTACAGTGCTAAATGCTCTAAAGGGAACAAGGTGTAAGTTCTATAATTAGCATTTCAGATAGCAGATCTCAGTCCTGTTGAGAGAGCTGGACTTGGAAGACAGGCACTCATATCTGATCCTTGAGTGATTTAACATAGACGGCTGTTTAAAGGAGCATGAGGGGGGGACATGGCTTTCTAGACGGCGACTGTGATTGCAACAACTAAGGGCAGATATATATCTGTTTGTTTACTTTGCCTTTTATTTGTTGTGTAGATATGATTAGTCTTTTGTTTTTGCTTCCTTTCTTAAAATTCTTGTCCAAAAAAACCATTAATTCATTTATAAAAGCAAATCAGTAAATGGGCTGTGTGTTTTTTATCAAATTTTTATATACAACCAGAATAATTGCGTCCTTTTTACAACAGAATTTTTATGACAGTCCTCTTAAAAAGCTTCTGCAGCATCTCAGTCAGACAGTGACAGACTTTTCCATCTGTCTGGATTTATGAAACCTGCGCCTACATAAATATTTGTTCACAGGTGAACTCAATCAATTGAATTGTTTTATTAGCTATATTTAACCACCCTTACATAGCTTTGAAAGGCTATAACTTTAAGCCTCCCGCATCCTGTTTGAAAGGACCTGCACCCACTGTGTGTGTGATATCGATTGAAGCACAACAAACAGCCTCCACCAAAGATTTTCTCTCTCATCTGAGGTATGAGAAGTCATACAGGGTCATTCATAGGCCAGATAGGCTGAGAATCAACGAATGTGAATGTGTCTTTATCTTTGTTTGTTTTTTGTTTTTTACCAGATGCTGCAGAGTCACAGTTCTACTAATGGGATGGTAGCGCTGCTGAGTATCTATGAGAAGGAAGATGAGGCCTATCAGGACGTGGTGACTGTTGCCACCAGCTTCTTCCAGTACCTGTTGCAGCCTTTCAGAGACATGAGAGAACTAGCCTGCCTTTACAAGATGGAGATTCTGGTAACTGTCTGGTTTTAGGATGAAGCAAAATTCAGTGTAAAGTAGCTAAAAAATCCATTCTTTAACATCAAATCTCACTTTATCAGAACTATAAAGTGATGATCTACACCTCTGTGTGTCTTTGCAGAAGTCTTTGGAGTTTGAGGAATTGGGTCCCAAGAGAATTACTGCACTGGAGAAGGAGGCGGAGGAGTGGAGAATGAAAGCAGAGGATGCAGTTGCCTCCATTCAGAGCATCACTGTCACCTACTTTGCACAGACTTCAAAGGCTCTGGCTGGTACAAGTTTTTGGTTGCATACGTTATTTGTAAGGATCAAGTCATTAGTCTAATTTGGAGGAAGGCTTGGTAATATATTACAACAAGTCCTCCTTTCTTCTAAGAAATTTTTTTGTAATATGAGAGAAGCTTTCATTAAAAGTATATTGGAGGATTTTAGCGAATTTTAGAAAAAGACCCACCCTCTCTTTTTAAAAAATAAAAATGCACATGCACAACCCTATACCCACTCCCAAGAGGGAACGCCTATGAAACGCATGCAAGAGCGTGCACAGGCCCATTTCTCCTCGTTTGCATTTCTCATACAAGCTTACTTTCCAAAAGAAGATTAGAATGTCTCCACAATGTCAGACTCACCACCAGTAAGTGAAAATGGAGACGAGCACGCAGGATGGCCTTATGTAAACATATCACCAAAATGATTGACAATTAAGAGGACCACTTATTTTAATGATCCACCTGGAAAAAGAACAGCCTCCACTATACCTTTAATATAATCAAAAAATCTTCCATGCTTAGTCTTTGGTAGAAATCTGAACTTTTTGAAACTGTCCTGCAAAAGGGTTTACACTCAGGTAAAAAACAAACAAACAAAAAAAAGGATATGAGATTTTAGTTTTATAGGTTTGGAGATTCTATTCTAATCGGTTTTTGCTGTTTTGGAAAAGATGACTTCAGAAGCTTTTTTTTTTTCCAGCTCTCCTACTCTGTGCAGCATACAGATCGGTTTGTGGAACAGTTTGACATTTAGGCTGGAAAAACACCACGTTCTGTTTTCTGTCAGTTCAGTAAAACTCTGGTTTAATGGAATAACATATGAAATAAATAATGTCAGAATTTAATATTCTCTGCCCTCATTGCTGCTAATTTTGGAAGAGTTACAGTATAAGGATACCGGTAGATCTGTTTTCACATTGTGACCTTGAAAACCCCACATATGTTAGCTGAGATTTTGCTATCAGATCTGAGAAAAACACATCTCCAACATAAGTATTTTCGATTTTCTGGGTCAAACTTTATTTATTTTAGGCTTTTTAGTGGTTTGTTTACAAAATTTCCTAATGTTTTTGTGAGATCTAGCCTTTTGACACAGTTCTTGTGTTGATGTCCAGTTATGGTCAAACAGATGGAGGAGGATAAGAAGCGTTTTGGACCTGCTGCCTGGGCGTCTGCAGCTCCCAGACTAGAGAAACTACGTTTCCTTTTAGCTAAAGAAACCTTGCAGCACATGCGAGCAGCAGAGATGTGCCTTAGCCGCAAGAAGGATACTATCAAACAGAGGGTATGTCTTTCAGCAGCTTTCATGGGGCTCCTGTAATCGGTGAAAACATTTCGCACTTAATTCTTGGTGCTAGAAATAGATGTGAGCCTTTGGAAATCTGAAGCAATTTAGAGTTGTTGTTTTTTTGGGGTATTCTACTCTGAATGGATGTGAATCTCTGGCTGCAGAGGTTCTTTGATCTATTTATAAAACCCTCTCTGAAAACTGAAAACCTGCTCGCATGCATGAACAAGTGAGTGTGTCTGTGTGTGTCTGCATATTAACAATGTGTTGTGTGACTAAATGGTGTGGAACAATTTTCCTGTTAGAATCACTGGATGTAGGAAAAAAACTACAGCAGGTTCACTTATACTTATAACCTATCAAAATGTGCATTAGAGCAATTACTTTCCGGTTTTTTTTGGTTGTGAAACAGCATCTTCACCTGCATTATTCATCTGATTAAGCTTGTTAAATAGTCCGGATATTTAATGGATGCAGGAAATGGCTCAACATGGTGAAATCTAACTAACAGTCAGGGGAAATGATTAGACTCAATCAGATATCTTTGAATGCATGCAAAAAAAACAACAACAAAAAACCACCTTTTCTAAAAAACGAAAGCGATCACAGAAGCCAGATATTGAAATTTTAATAATATACTGAGCTCATTTGGGATATAAATTTTTTTCTTCAGCGTTTTATTGTCAATACACTGACACAATTATTGCGCAACGAAATGAACAATCTACATTTAACCCATCTCCTAGCAGAGCAGGGGGCTGCTATTGTGCGGTGCCTGGGGTGGTAGGCTGTGGTAGTGGGGCTCGAGGTCTTTCAGAACTTCTGGATTCCAAGCTCTATGCCCTAACCACCAGGCCGCTGTTCTGTCAGATCAACATACCTATAGTCAATACGCATGCCCAAGACGTCAGATTTGCGTTTATACCTTTAGCTTTGTACGGAAAATACACTTTGAACTACCTCAACAGGCTTATATCCCTTTAGTCATGTCCCAAAAAACGAATTTAACGTCAGATCGCCATACGCTTCAAAAAACACCAATAAGTAAGTAATTAAATAGGTTTTTTGTACATGACTAAAGGGATACATGCCCGTTGAGATAGTTTAGTGTGTTTTTCATACAAAATTGAAGGGATAAATGGGTTTTGACTATGGGTATTCTCATCTGACAGTACACCGCCACTCCCCACTGGCAAGGTCAGATTATTAGTATAGCACAATTCAATGCAAAAACTTTTGAAAGTGCTATACATGAATTAAACACTAAATAGAGGCAAAATAAAAGCAAGTAAAGATAAAAAGTTGATAAAAGCTGCCAATAAAGCAAACAAAACATTTGACTCAACCTCATTTGGGGCATAATACAGGGCATCATAAAACCTCTTTCTGTTTACAGGAAAGTGCTGTTGCATTTTGGGTAATTTTGTTTTAGACCGGGGACCTGGCTAACAAGGCTACAAAACTATAAAGCTAATTGTGACCCAGGTTTTAGAGGTGATTTAAGAAGCTTGTTTTGTTTCTTTTTTTTCTGCAGCTGGAGAATTTATCAGGAAGAGTCCAGAACCGGAGAGCTGACCAGAGATCTGCAGATCTCGAGGACAATCATAAACACGACACCGTGGACCAGCTGGAGCTGCAGTTCTATGAAACCCAACTAGAACTGTATGATGCCAAGTTTGAGATCCTGAAAAATGAGGAGCAGCTGCTAGTGGCTCAGATAGACACTCTGCGTCGGCAGATTAAAGGTATGTAAGATTTTTATAGAATGGACACGCTGCAATCTGAATAAGAGAGAAGTACATTTGCAGAAAAAATCTCTAAGTGAACTAGCGCAGGCTCTAAAAATATTTTCTGGTTTTATGTTTTCCTCTTTTTTTGTATTTTTTTCACACTTACATTTTTTAGATATTTATAGTGTTTGCTGTCCTCGGTAAGCCATAAGCTGCAAAGCACATCCTATTAGGATCTGATGTAAATCTAAGGCATCAGTGGTAGCATGATGGGTTGGGACTTAGTTTGAATTTCAGGAACTGAATGATTCACTTTAAATACTGAAACCAGGAATTCCCTTTAGTAGATCCTAAAGGGAAATTATTCAGCTACTAATGTATGACTGAAGTCCACTGATTAGGTGCAACAACAATGATCCAAAGTCCACAAGAGATATTAAGATATATAAAGATATTAAGATGCTGTAGCATGACCTTAACCAAACTTCTCACGTTGGAAACCCCACTAATGTAGCTAAATGAAACAATTATTCTAAGAACAGTGGTGAAAACATTCCTCTCTCCATGTAAAACACACTTTGCCAGTTTTTGTGAACACTTGATGTCGTTAGTTCCACCAGTGGTAGCAAAACCTTTAACTGAGTTCAGGGTGTGATTACTTTCAAGCAGGTCAGGGTCAGGTCACTAGCACCGTGTCCCTTTACCACTTATAACGATATTCCTTTATACAGGTGCTGGTCATAAAATTAGAATATCATGAAAAAGTAGATTGATTTCAGTAATTCCATTTAAAAAGTGAAACTTGTATATTATATTCATACATTACATACAAACTCATATATTTCAGATGTTTATTTTGTTTAATTTTGATGATTACAAATGACAACAAATGAAAATCTCAAATTCATCATATCAGAAAATTAGAATATTGTGAAAAGGTTCAAAATTGATGGCCCCTGGTGCCACACTCTAATCAGCTAATTAACTCAAACCACCTGCAAAAGCCTTTAAATGGTCTTTCAGTCTAGTTCTATAGGCTACACAATCATGGGGAAGACTGCTGACTTGACAGTTGTCCAAAAGACGACCATCGACACCTTGCACAAGGAGGGCAAGACACAAAAGGTCATCGCTAAAGAGGCTGGCTGTTCACAGAGCTCAGTGTCCAAGCACATTAATAGAGAGGCGAAGGGAAGGAAAAGATGTGGTCGAAAAAAGTGTACAAGCAAGAGAGATAACCGCACCCTGGAGAGGATTGTGAAACAAAACCCATTCAAAAATGTGGGGGAGATTCACAAAGAGTGGACTGCAGCTGGAGTGAGTGCTTCAAGAACCACCACACACAGACGTATGAAAGACATGGGTTTCTGCTGTCGCATTCCTTGTGTCAAGCCACTCTTGAACCACAGACAGCGTCAGAAGCGTCTTGCCTGGGCTAAAGAGAAACAGGACTGGACTGCTGGTGAGTGGTCCAAAGTCATGTTCTCTGATGAAAGTAAATTTTGCATTTCCTTTGGAAATCAAGGTCCCAGAGTCTGGAGGAAAAGAAGAGAGGCACTTCATCCACGTTGCTTGAAGTCCAGTGTAAAGTTTCCACAGTCAGTGATGGTTTGGGGTGCCATGTCATCTGCTGGTGTTGGTCCATTGTGTTTTCTGAGGTCCAGGGTCAACGCAGCCACATACCAGGAAGTTTTAGAGCACTTCATGCTTCCTGCAGCTGACCAACTTTTTGGAGATGCAGATTTCATTTTCCAACAGGACTTGGCACCTGCACACAGTGCCAAAGCTACCAGTACCTGGTTGAAGGACCATGGTATCCCTGTTCTTAATTGGCCAGCAAACTCTCCTGACCTTAACCCCATAGAAAATCTATGGGGTATTGTGAAGAAGAAGATGCAATACACCAGACCCAACAATTCAGAAGAGCTAAAAGCCACTATTAGAGCAACCTGGGCTATCATAACACCTGAGCAGTGCCACAGACTGATCGACTCCATGCCACGCCGCATTGCTGCAGTAATACAGGCCAAAGGAGGCCCAACTAAATACTGAGTGCTGTACATGCTCATACTTTTCATGTTCATACTTTTCAGTTGGCCAACATTTCTATAAATCCTTTGTTTTTATTGGTCTTCAGTAATATTCTAATTTTCTGATATGATGAATTTGAGATTTTCATTTGTTGTCATTTGTAATCATCAAAATTAAACAAAATAAACATCTGAAATATATGAGTTTGTATGTAATGTATGAATATAATATACAAGTTTCACTTTTTAAATGGAATTACTGAAATCAATCTACTTTTTCATGATATTCTAATTTTATGACCAGCACCTGTATTTATACAGCCTTTTAACATTTATAGTAACTGTTTAGTGTGACCGTTGTGAGTTTACAGACTTAATTCCTTGTCATGCTGTTTTAATCCTTAAATACTATGAAAGAACATTTAGAAGTGGTTCAGATTTAAATGGCTAATCTTTGTCTTTGCTGTATCCAAAACTATTTTGGAAACAAAGAAGTAGCTTAAATTGTTCATGTTTTCTGGATCTTAGATTAAAAAAAATTAACTATAAGCTAAATTTTGTTTCTTTGCTGAAAAAAAATGCATCACAGATAAAACACTGTAATTTAAAGAAGTGATTTTCAATAAATAATCTAGCTCAGACAAGTTAAAGTGATTTACATTTTCAAATGAAGTCTAAATTGGTTCCTATAAGAAACCAACTTCTGCATACTTTATTTTCAGTATTTTTTTAACATGCAGATAAGAAAACAGAAGTGCTTATTTTTGCACTAAAATCTCCAGACTTGCATATTAAAGCTGCAGGAAAATCTAAATCATGTTATACATATGTAGATTTCACATAAACATTGAAAAGGCTCTTTGATTATGGGGTCACCCTGGGGAATTGGTGGACTATGTTTATATAAATATTGCTCTAATTGCTCCTTTAGGGACATGGGGTTGTTTGCCTCTAAGATGTGTGTGCAGTATTAACACGCTGTGTTTGTCCACCTGTATTTTTACCCTCTCAATGGATTCCAGATTTTCTAAACTGAAACAGCTGTGCGACCTTGAACATTCATATGAAAGATGTGTCAGAAAAAAAAATGAATCTTACGAAATAAATTGTCTGACTTTATGGAGGATTTAATAGAAAGGACTTCCTTACAAGGGACAGAGAGAGAGATATTTTTAATATCATTATAAAGACAGGTAATTCTGTAGCATATAGTGGTGTTGTATGAAGGTGTGTTTGTTTCAGAGCTGAAGGAGGAGGTGGTTTACTACGATGTCTGTGAAGATCCAGAGGAGCTGCATAGCATGGTCCACACAGCATTTCAACAGGCTGAAACTCCACTAATCCGTCAGCTTAGAAGACGCCTGCAGAGCCTGGAGACCAAGAGGGGAAACATCTGTGCTCGGAGGGCTTATCTACGCAACAAAAAGGTGTGGAACACGCTGCAGCCCAGTTTTTTTTTTTTTTTTTTTTGCTACCTGTGTGTTAATTTAACAGAAAAATATATTTTTTGTCACTTAGCGTTTCTTAAGGGTAAAAATACAAACCTTTAATCTGGATGATAGAGCAGTTGGTTTTTATTATGGATTTCAGCTTTATGGAGTCATTATATGCATCATGATTTCTTCAAGTTATTTAAAGTAGAAATTATTTCCATGACAGCTGGTAGCAATGAAAAGCCCTCAAAGTGAACTAAAGTAGACCTTCCTATTGCATGATGGCTGAGCCCCCATGCTTCATAGTGTAGAGTTATGTGACGAACCCCCTGTGGCCTTCATACCCAAAGCAACATTCATACTGTTAGCAGGTTATGCTAAGTCTCTGTCAATCATGGTTTTCTGACACATTGTAGGCATTTTTTCCAGCATTGTGACTTGTTAAGGGCATCATACTGATGATTGGCTCCACACGGCTGTCCTCTAATGTTTACAGTGCTTATAGGCCTTTTTCAACCATCTGAGGCTCAGTCTTTTCCACTTCAGCTATGCTTTGATTCATTTAGTTTGCAGTGTAAGTGTTTTTCTTTTTTTTTTTCCTCTTAAAAAGCATTTAAAGTTTTCAGATTTTATCATATGTACTCTTCAATTAAAACAGAAATCTTAAAAAAATAAAAATGTCATTGCTTGGTTTTCAAGCGTTTTATTTCATGACGCATCGGAAAAACAAATCCGCAACCCATCTTCAATGCTCTTTCTGAGGTTGTTGGTTAAGGTCTCTCCCCATGTGGCTCCATCCATCCTCATCACAGTGCAATCCTCCTGTTCCTTTGCAGAAAAAACTTCCCCAAAGAATTATTTCTTCCTCCTCCATGCTTCCCCCCTGAAATTTTCTTTTCCCTCTGCTGTTCCTATCTCCAATTGCCTTTTTGATCAAAGTACGCCATCCATGTGAGCAACGTTTGGGACGTCTCTTTTTATTACGGTACGCTTACCAGGCAGGAATGCCCAATTCCCAAGATCTACAAGAGTTGCTGATTCCATCCCTAAATAATTACAAACTGGTCTTCTCTTACTGCAACAACTGGATAACTGTTATTTAGCGAAATAGTTTCAACCAAATGCTTTTTAATTTTAGGTTGCTATTATTTTGAACATAAAACATAAAGTGGCTTTAGATATCGTGTGTGTGTGTCTTCAGGATCAGTGCATGGAGGCCCAGGAGCAGAAGCAGCTGGCAGCCAAGCAGAGCTCCATCCTTTTCAGCCAGCATCATCAGGTTCACCTGGTACGTCACCACAGCAACCAGACAGCCCACACAAACCCTCCCAACGCCGTCGAGGTAGCGGACTTAGTTTTTTTTTCCTTCAATAGTTCTCAATGTCTCCCTCTGTCGTCTGCAGAAACGGGAGAAGAAGAAAGAGGAGGAGCAGAGGAGGAAGCAGTGGGTGGACGAAGAGCGGGAGAAGACCCTGAGCAGATTACGAGCCTTTAGAGAGGTCAGGCTCCGCCTTCTTTCTCCTGGAGATCCTCCTTTATTAAAAAGAGAAAAAACTGTATGTAGGTTCCTAATGCTTCCTGTTGACACCTATTGTAAATCCATATTTACAAAAAAAAAGCATTTATTTTGAATTTGGTCAGTTAGCATAACAGAAATTATTTTCAATAATAATGGAGAACTATAGAGATTGTTCATTACTTCAGTTATATTATGTTTTTTAAATGACCACTTTTCCTCTGGATTAATTTAACCCCAGGCAACAGAGAGGCATAGAAAGAGATGATTTGTCATTTGTTTGCAGTGCATTTTCATTATTTTTTACTGTTGTATTGTAATATTCTTTCTAGAAGCGTCAGGGTCAGTACATCCTGAAGACTCCTCATTCCAGGAGGTCTCCTTCTGAAGTGTCCTGTCCCTCCCAGCCATTGTCTATCATCAGCCTCTCACCTTCTGCCTCTCCTGAAGAACCTTCCTCCATCCGTCCGGCACCAAGGAGCAACAAAACCTCCAAAAAACAGCAGTCTAAAGATATCCCTGTTCAGATATTCTCTACACCACGTCCGCCAACATTAACCTGTCCCACTGCACCTCCTCCTCCACCACCACCTCCACCGCCACCTCTTCCACCACCGCCGCCTCCTCCTGCTATAGCACCTCTTCCTGTCCAAGCTGCACCTTCCCCTAAGGATATGCCGATGGCTCTCAGTGAAAAAGAGGAGCCTCCATTTCCAGCCAAGAACACGCTCAAACAGAATATAGGTGAGACTGAAGCACACCACATAATTCAGACTTTGAAGGGGAGCGTGCATTGAAAATATAAGCACAGAAAGCTTTGAGAAAAAGCCGGTGGGTATGGAGCAGGTGATGTAACATCTCCCCAATGCTGGTACAGTTGTTTGTTTTAAGGAAAGCGTGTGTGTGGTGTGTGTGTTTGCACATTCTGTCCTGCCCTATATTCTCCATGTTTCCCATGAGGAGAGACAAGGCTTCTTACCTCAGTTGCTGTCCTGTTCTTGCACACCTTCAGCTAGTCAAGCACAGATTTCTTATTTTACTTATTTTCTAAAACTATTTGATTCATAAAAGGACTCCATTTGGAAGTCTCACCTTTAAAAAATTTTTTTAAATCTCTGTGCCTTTTTTTTATTTTTATTAACAGCTGAAGAAAATGGTATTCAAAGTTGCCCAATAATGCATTCCAGTACTAGATTTTGCTTTGTTTTTCTATCTTTTATCTATTCATGCATTTCTTTTTTTGCAGGAACTATGGATGAAGTGTTGGCTTCCCTCCAACGCGGGCAGATTAAACTCAGAAAGGTCCCGGATGCCAGGGCCAATTCTGGGCAGGACGCGAGGAGCAATCTGTTGTCCGCCATCCGACAGGGAGTCACATTGAAGAAGGTTAGAAACTTCAGTAACTCAATAATTAATCAAAGTCAGTCAAATCTGACAGCGTTAAACATTGCTATACAGCTTAGCTGTTATCTTTCCTAGAAAGCATTGTTGGAATAATCAAAGGGGAAAACTATGCAGAATGGTGTGTATTTCCTTAAAAACATTTTACACTTCCTTAACACTCAGGAATAACAGCTTTTGGTTTACTCTCAGATCCTTTACCAGATTAAATTTCACAGCTGGGACTGTTCTGTTGCAGAACTATATGAAATGACTATTTCAGCTAAACCACTGAACAATTTGGTCGGAACTCGCTTTTACTAACGAGTATGGGTGATATATGCACTTGAAATCTTATGATAATTGGTGGTATTATTGTGATCAGAGATGACTGCTTTGGTTTATGATCCATGCTTTACTCAAACATGATGGAGCAAAGTGTTTATTTCCAAAAGTTACAGTGCTTTGCTAAGTTTCTGTAAAACAGATATGTTTTCAGGAATTGCAACTTGTATTTTAATTATCAGACTAAACCTAAAAGGCATTTCTCGTTTTTGATTGTTCTGCTAAAGATAATTTTCATAGTGAAAACAAAGTTTTACTTGTCACTATGGTGGCTATAGGTCAGTTGCTAAGTTTCAATATCTAATATTAGAGAGGACTAAACAGTACATTTCTAGTTTATCATAAATATATTCATAGAATAAGTGTCTAGGTTGGCCCTCAATAATAGCAACAGTTGCTACTTTAACCTTTAAAATAAGAGCAATGCTCTTAATTGTAACATTTGTAGTTAAAACAGTAAAAAATGTAGGTTTTACATCATAGTAGTTTAGTTGCACACTCATCAGGGCAATGAGTCAAAAGCCTTGCTAACGCAAACTGTAGGACTCTACAGAAATATTGCTGCTGTAAAACAGCTGATAACAAATACATGTGGTTTAAATCATTCTCTATTAAAATTGTTATGAATATTATGAGCCCAACTCAAAAGCTTCCATTAAAGGTGAAACATTCACTTTAGTTTCCAGTTTTTTATGAACGGAATCAGCATCTTGAACTGTAAAATAGTAGATCTGAGTTGCACTGATAATTGTTGTGTAGGAACGGGCCACATTGTGCCTCTTTGTGTTGAAGGTGGTCGCCACACGGGAGGAAGTCCAGAGCGGCACAGACAATGACCTGGAGCGCAGCATTAAAGCCGCCATGATGAGGATGAAGAAGGTGGCAGCAGACTCAGACGATGAGGACGAAGGTGACAACGACTCGCAGAACACAGAGTGGGACAGCTGAGACCAGAGCCTGTTGACCCCACCCCCCCGCTCTGTGTCCTTAACGGTTAAAAACTAGAGCTTGAGTTTTCACCCCCCCAACCCCTAAAAAATGCTGCTTCTTCTGACGAGGACAGGATTACGCCTTCTTCCGCTTTAGTTTAGTTTACTTAAACGCTTTAGTTTGTCTGAGCTGTCAAACTCTAATCCCGTCGGTCGTCATAAAGTAGCACTTAAATGTAAGAGATCAAAAACAGCTCTGATCCGACTAAGTATCAAGTGACAGAATCAGGATTTAATCTCCTCTGAAAACCTTTTCTGTTTTGGAGACGTCTCAAAGTGAAAGGCTAAATGGGATGGTCTGTATTATAAAGCAGAGTCAGAACCAAATCAGTTAATGATTGAATCCTAGCTGCCTGAACGCCTTCTGTTAGGCTGCTGCTCAATGGGGGAAGCCTGTTCTGCACCAAGAAACTGATTCCTCTCTTATTTCAGAATCTTATCCTATTGAATGTAATAAAGACTTAATTTTCTTAACTTAACCCAGTGGCTGTTTGCTTTGAAAAGCAATGATGTTTACAGTGTATACTGGTAAAGCCTTCAGCGTTGTTTGTACTAGAAGCTCCTGTCTTGTCAAAAATGTAACTGGTTAGAACTTGTCTAGAAATAAATCCATTTCTTTCCTCATGTTGCCAAAAGAAAGGAAGCGATCGATTAAGAGTGCAAGATAACTTTATAATGAATTCTGTTAAATGAAGAAACGTCCTATCCTCTCAGCCTTGGTCTGAATTGATTTCTGGTAAACAGCATTAAAGAGTGCAGAGTGAATAAAAAGCCTGTTAAATGAGCTGGTAATAACTGCACTGAAAAACATATATGCACCACTGTTTTAATAAAAATGTAATCAACATAAATCATTGCAGATTTAGCTTTAATTCAAAGCTTGCTGGACTGAGGTATCTGCTGTTGTGTTTGCTCCTTGTGACCCCTGATCTGCACAGACTCGCTGTACCTGGATCAACATCCCCTCTGCTTAAACGTGCTCTACAGAGGTTTCAAAGCAAGAGCAGGTAAACCCTGATGACTGCGCTCCAGGAGACTTTTCGCCCACCTTAATGAGTCATAGAGAGCTCTCCATCCAGACAGCTGTGGCTGTTTTCAGCTGTGTAAAAGTCAAAGAACAGCTGTTGGTGGAGATCCTTTCATCCTCTTTAGTCTGGGGTGGGAGGGATCTGTGGTTTTTTTTCTGTGGGGAACAACCAGGTCACGCATCTCAAGGGACCCAGACAGCAGGTACTGCTGACAAAACCAAGCCAATTTTGCATCAATGTGAAATTCCTCAGCCTGTTACTATGGTAACAGCAAGTCTTGGTTGTAATGGCCCGCAGTGCTAGGTTTTTCTGTCTCTCACACATTTACCGAGCAGCATAGTGTCTTAATGATGTTTCACCGAGTCGCCCACTCACCACCAGTCACACAATGAGCCTCGCAGAGACAAACGGCAGACAAGAGAGAAATGCTGCTTTAACTCTGGACTGGCATTAGGTTTTGGTGTAAAAATGTTTGTTCCAACTTCAATTTCAGTCAGATTTGATGAGCTATCTAAAGAAAAACACCATTCTGAGATTCCAACGTCTCATTTTTCAAAAAATGGGAATTGACGTTCAGTCTGCATCAAGGCAAATCATGGAAACGACCGTTTCTCATGAGGCCTGGCGTATTGATCCAGTTCATTAGGTTCTGCTGCACTAAATTCACTTTATTTGTGCCACACTTAATATATGCGGTTATAAGAACTTGAGGTGTCAGTTTGAACTATTGTATTTTTAATACTGCAGAATCGTTTAGTTTATATCAATTAGTTTTTTTGTATTTGTTGATTAAAATAACTGGATTTATTTTTAAAAATAGGACTAGTTAATAGTTTTGTTGTAAAAAAAAAAAAAAAAAAAAACCCTGCTTCTTGCATAAGTAAGACTTGACAGAAAATTCATAGTTTATCCGCATATTGATTATTTTTACACTGAGTGCCACTTTTATATACAAAAAAAAGTTGAGTAGGATTGAGTTGCCAAGGCAACACGTCCTCTGATTCACTGCAGCAGTACTGTGATGATGTTTCATGTGTTTCCCTTCCCCCGTCAGTCCCCAGAATGTGTTTGGTCTCATCTCCACACAGACATGTCAGCTGCTTTGCACATGTAGGTCTCCGTTATGATTAGCACCATGTTTGGCTCCATGTAAATCAACAGAGGAGGAGACAGGCGGTGGTAGAGCCTCGACAGCCCTTTGCTCCAAGTGTTCCTCCTCCTGAGGACTTCTCATCCAGGGAAAAAAAAAGGACTGTTTTAATTTGAGGAGGATTTAGCCATTTCTTTCACACACAAACACATTTAAAAGCTCCCATCTCGTCACACCGGAGAGCAGGAGAAAAAGACACTCACTCAGCAGTGTAATTAAACTAGACTTTACCAGTTTCAGTTCTCTAGGTACAGTATTGGACAAGAATCACAAAAGTGCACAAGAGGCATTGGTTCAACAGGAAGAATCATAATGACTCAGGTGAGTTACAAACAGGGAAAACACTTTAAAAAAAGTCCCTTTGATAAATATCTCAGAGTTAGGACAGATCTAAAGAGTCATGAAAAATAGTCCAGTGTAATATTATTACTGGGTAAATATTTTACTTTGATTGCAAACATATGGTCTCAAAATTGACTTCCCAAAAGCAGCTGCAACACAGTCTTATGAAAACCTTTAAATCCTCAGAGTTTGGTATAACTTTTACACATTATCCTACATCTGAACAACAGATCAAGCATTATTAGCCTGGTCTGGAAATACTAGTTGTAGAGAGGCACCAAAAATAAACATACAAGACTAAAAGCAAAGACGTTTTAAGCAGAAACAAAAAAAAAAAGGCTTGTTCCAACCAAATGTTTTGAGTGAAGTACACTTTCACATGATTCACCTGTCAAGCAGCACCATAAACCTCATTCAGGAAAAATACAAATTAAATAACCACCACCATGAAAAAAAAACCTAACGTCAGGAAGAACTTATCGGACACGTGCAGGTCTGTTCACACTAATGCACGCAAACGCTCTTTTAACACTACACCCATGGCGGATAATGGGTTATTGTCAATTTGGAAGGAAAGATCCTGAGTTTTCCTTCTTTATGCAAATATAATATAAAGCATCTCTACAATAAAGATCCTGCTGAAATCTCCTTTAAGGATCATTTCCATACTTTTTCAAGCGAACAACTCAGGACAGGATGATCCATTTGTTTAAATGGGAGAACTTATCTTGATGTTATATAACAGAAATAATCGTGTCATTATGGGGGTGGTCACTGGTTGGCCTGTTTTCCTTTCCAGGGAGATTTAAACTTACCTGGAGGCACTTTGTGTCACGGCCATTTATTATGTTTATGTGCATATAATTGAATGTATACAAACTGTCTTCTAACACACCTGAGATACACAAGAGGCAGCAGCAAGGACAGTCTGTAGAGGACTTCAGATCTGAAGGGGAGGGGCACCTTTTTTACCACTAATTATTAGTTTAATTCTGCTGTCTTTTTATTTTAGCCCTTCAAAGTCCCACCTTATGCAGCTTATAGAGACGTTCTGCAGCCTTTAGAACAGAGAGATGGACAGAATCTAAGAACCCACCACCAGCTTTTTAAGCCGCTTTACCCCCACTGAAACAGATGAGTAAACTCAGTGTGAGTGGGAGTAGTTTCAAAGCCAGCACCCAAAAAATGTCACCATTTTGTTAGACTTGCTGGCCTTCTTTCTTCTTTTAAAGTCTGCCAAGAACTCAATCCCTCCCCCCCATAAAGTTGTGTTATTAAAAGATGATCAATTCAAAGAGGACATCACTTTGGGGGAGTAGGTGCCGCATAGTTTTTGTCCTCAAGAGACATTTTACTGAATCCTTCATGCCAGACCTCTCGCCCTTTCAGCTCAGCAGCACTTTTCTCAGTTATCGACACCGAGCTTAGAGAGTCCCTGTCTGAACTCGTGCAGCTCATCCAGCTTTCCATCCAGGATATCCATGAACTTCTTCAGCTCGCCCTTCATGTTTCCCTGTTTCTGTCGACTGTCGTTGACGTCCATCTGAAGACCCTCCACCTTCCCTTCCAGCTCCTTGTTCTTTGACTCTGCAGTCTGCAGGGCAGATGTTAATGGGGTTAGATTAGAGAAGGAAAAGTCCGAATGTGACAAAAAGATCCATTGATTAAACCTGCTTGGGGAATATTTCTCTTTTATCATTTAAATCAGTCTCAGAAATCTACATACCTCTCTGCAGACAAAAGCTTTTTTATTGTGTTTTTTTTTTTTTATATTGCAGAACTTTAGGCATCATAAATGAAAACTTGTTAGATGGTATGATGATGCCTCCACCATGTGAAGCAGAGTGATTTGCAGGGTTGTTTTCCTCCACATTTATTGTTCTGAATTCATTTCAAAGTTGAAACTCTGTCTCATCTGACCAGACGTGAAAAATGTGAAAACTTGTGTCGGTCTGGCTGCTCAAGAGTTCACAGCTGTACCCTGACACAACATGAAAGCTGCCTAAAACCTTTCCAAGACACAGTAGGTATGTATAAAAAAGTGCAGAAGTCCTCAGTACAATAAAAGAATGAAATGCCAATTTTCTTTTATCTGAAAAGTACAGTATCAGGAAGGACTCATGTTTTCTGGGTAAGGATGGTTGTGCAAGTATGTTTCTCTGACTAATGGGCAACACATCAATGCCACAGATACTTTTGAAGGGAGGAGATTAAAATAGAGGTTGCCAAATGGGCCCGACGTCTGCATGACTGCATCCTACAGCTGACTCCTGAAACCTGATCTGCTCATGAGGAGGTCATCTTTAAATAGAGAGGAGCTCCAAACTGCAGCCCAATAGAAAGACACTTTATAATTATAACTTTGATGCGCTCAAGCGATTTCTTTTGTTAATTAAGACTGCCAGAGTTGAGAGACAGATGACATCTGGGAATCCCAAAGTTTATGCATGTTGTCAGGTTAGATGAACAGTTCCAGCCACAATTCTCCATCCAGCGGGCAGAATGAAATCCAACAGTAAAGTTTGTGTGATGTTGGAGCTGCAGGAACTACAGGAATGCCACTGTTGGTTTTACTCTCCTCCACTTTGTGAACGAAAGGCACCACATTCTTGATTGTTTGGACTGTGGGTCGGCCAGCGCGGGGTGAAATAAGCTCAGCTATCAACAGGCTCATGCCTGTTGCTGTCATCAGTGAGCCTGGCTCTTCCAGTTTCACAGAAAGTCTCACTGAAAGTAAAACTCGTTGTTCTCAAGACTTCATGTACCTGCATTGTTTTAGGATTAATATGTTTAAGAGGCACAGCCCATGCAACTCCTGAAGTGTTATAAGAACTAATCATCAAAGCTTTATAAAAACCTCTGGAAGCACTCCAATCATTTTATCTACTGTTCCACTAGAAAACTAGAGTATCCCGATAATATTGCAGCTCTTTTAAATTAAAAAAATAATAAAAAAAGCTTTTCAAAAAGCCATAATCCATTCAGTGCTCTGCTGGGTGCAGACCTTCATTAACAAATGAAGTAACGACAATGTGTGCTGGTGAGACATCTGATAGGAATGTAGTGTCACCAGCCCTTGAGGAGAATGATGAATAGAAACTCTCTGAAAGGGCTACATACAGCCTCACATTCTCATGTGTTCAAGGCCTGCACCGCTCCCCAGGCTCACCTGTTTATTCAGCTTTACCATGAGGCTAAGAAAGGTAACAGGATTGTCACTTTGAGCTTTCAACATACCTTCAGTTTTGCAGTGATGCTCTCACACTCTCCCATCAACTGAGGGATAATCTCTGCCTGCCTCCTTAAATTTTCCAACTCCTGGAGAAAAAAAAAAAAAGATAAAGAAAAGCTATTCAGAATGTTGAAAAAAATGCATTTCAGGTGAATATATTTTAACATGATTAACTCTAAGCTTTGAAACATACATTCATCAAAGATGCAGAAATGTAGTTTCAGATCAAAGTAGTTGCGTCCAATATTCAAAAACTTTTTTTTCAGTTCTATTCTAGTATAGTTTTGAGTTCTAAATATCATTCCTCTACCATTTGAAAGCAATCTGCTTTATGCAGAATACATTAACCAGAAGTGATAGCTCTAGTCTTTGGAGTAACCTGCGGCAGTTTTGTCCTTTTAGTTTCCGTTTTACCAGCACAGAGGTCAGCACCGCAGAGGGTCCTAAATAATTCATTGGCTTGTTTTTAATTGGAGGTAGTGACAATGTGCATCTACAGAAGGTGGTGAGTCACTGGGCAGATGAGACTCTGTGGGCCGCCTGCTGCATCAGTGCTCTGCAAACAGCGAGCCTCTCTCTCCAGAGCCCCCGGGTCAGTGTTTGGAACATAATGGCCGACATAGCGTGGAGAAGAAATGCTGGCACTCCCAGAGGGCTGCATATTTCACTTGTAATCTTTCAAAATAAGCTAGAGCATCTGAACTACTTTCCCTCCTGACAGTGTGCGAGATTCCCCACTGTCAAAAGGAAGATGTATATGTTCTAATAATATTCCAGCTGCCGGGGCGTAAACTAGTACTTTACAGAAACAGTTTACCTCAGAGTCAGTGTGAGAGTTTCTACTGGCAACATGGTTCCTAATTGTATCAAGTATTATTATAGCAGCGATAGAAAAAACAAAACTTAATCCACACCATTGCCTGAAGCTTACAGTTCCAGATCAATAAAAGTCCACCTAAAGAGTTTAATATTATCGAGTGCAAGTTAAAATTGAAATAACACGTATTACAAGACTCAACCTTAGTTCTCACTGTCTAACATTGGATCAGATAAACCCTCTTACTGCATTAGTCCAGTTAAGATTAACAAAATTACTTCAATTTGCTAAATGGCTGAAAAACAAGAGTTGTTTAAGATTTATTACTTTCTTTAAAGTCAACAGTTTATATGCTGACAGACTGCTTTGACTTTAAAGAACTGCAGGGAGTCAGTAGGATGCCATGTTTCTGTAAACTTCTGAAGGGTGCTCCTCAAACACAAAGCTTCCTTTTCTAACATCAAGGCATACATCTGTAATGAAATCCAAAAGCAAGGAATTGTAGACTCCCACAAGTCGTGTTTGGTCTTGGGTATGGAAAAAAAGCACCATCTTTAATTGTTCAAATGATTATGAACAAGGGTGGGAATATCTAGCTGTCCTTAAATTTACAAGGGAAAGGTTGTGTCTCAGAGATGAATATATGGAAAAAAGAAATCTATGCATCGACCAAAGAGCAAAAGCAAAGACCTTATGAAACATGCAGGATGAAGTTGGTTAGTAAATCATTATCACCAGTGAAAATCTCCCATAGCGATATGTGCTGGAAGACCAATTGTGTAGATACAGTTCATTTACACAAGTGAATAAAGTGAATGTGATTGGTGGTTTATCAAGGGGCCGGGATTGTCGTGGCGGAAGGTTCATAAGTAAGTTTGGTTGTGGCCGGTTTATCAGAAGCATCTTATTATCCAGTTAGCAACTTAGTGCTAGCAGGTTCCCAATGGGAAATTCCATTGGGACAAAGTAGCACTAAATTGGTGACTTAGAAACGACAATGTCAAGGAACGCTATGGACAGAGGAAACATGCAAGAGGAGGAGAGTTTTGTGTCGGAGGTCGTGGATGAGTCTCCTCTGTCATACATTTTTATTTAGAGGAGGAAAGCAGGATAAAGATGTTGTGGAAGAGGACGCCAGGGTGGCAGAAGCTTGGTTTGATGTAGAAGGCTTACAGCCGTACATGTTTGAGCCCTTGCCTCGCAACGCTGCCAGTTCTGTTAGCTCTACGCCTGCTGACATTATTCAAAAAAATATTGAAGTGTTAACTTCTTCTTCGCTTTAACATCTGTGACTTTCTTACGTAACATCAGTATAATTACCTGCAGAAATCAGTCCTTATATTTAGACCCAATTGTGCTTATATAAACTAGCAACACAGCAGATGAGTTAAGATTACCGTATTTTCACGACTATAAGGCGCACTTAAACGTCTTTTTTTCCCCTCAAAATGTGCGGTGCGCCCTATGTGTGTTGTAACTGCGACTTTTGAGACCACCTCATTGAGGAGATGATGAAAGAGTGGCTGAATGTAAGGAGACCAGGTGTTTTTTTTCCACTCATCACCATCGCTGTTAATATGTGACTCCATGCGTGCCCATCTCACAGCTGATGTGAAAAACATGGGGAAACAAATTAACGCTGTGCTCGCTGTTCAACCGCTCGACATCGGTGTGAACCGGACCCAGCAGGTGCAGCAGAAGCAGCGAGTTTACATGCAAAGTCAATGGTTGACGCGCGTATAGGCGCAGCAAAAGGTCCCGCAGCGCGTTTTGAGCAGCAGCCGCAGCGCCTCGGAAGCGTTAAAGCATCTGACGCACCGCCAACGCGCTGCTGCTGCTCGAGATGGAAAAATTGAAGTTTTGCTGCTGGACGCGCCGCATCAACCAATCAGAGAAGCTGATCTGGGAGCTGACAGCGAGACAGACACAGCGCTCTGATGACATATGATATTAACGCAAATGAAAAGGGCTGGATGGATGAGGAGATGATGAAAGCGTGGCTGAGGCAGGTGTATGTGAGGAGAACAGGTGTTTTTTTCCACGCATCACCATCGCAGTTAATCTGTGACTCCATGCGTGCCCATCTCACAGCCGATGTGGAAAAAAAGGTGAATCAAATGAACGCTGTGCTCGCCGTTATCCCGGGAGGTCTGACAAAGGAACTTCAACCGCTCGACATCGGTGTGAAGCGGCCGTTCAAAGTAAGGCTGCGAGCGGCGTGGGAGCGATGGATGGCCGACAGAGACCACAGTTTCAGGATAGGTGGAAGGCAGCGCCGGGCAAGTTACGCCACCGTTTGCGGATGGATTGTAGATGCTTGGACTAACGTGTCTGCTGGCTCTGTTGTTCGAGCTTTCGCAAAAGCCGGCATTATTTCTGAGGAGCCGCCCGGCACGGAAAGTGACTCTGACAGCGAAGAAGGAGAAACTGGCATTTCTGATTTAGCGCAGCTGTTTAATTCAGAAACAGAGGATGATGACTTTGATGGGTTTGATTAATACTTTGTAATAAATACATAAATAAAGCACAATCATACTCAGTTTTGCTCCCGCTCTATTTTTCTACCTGAACACTTAATTCAACAGCAGCCTCTGGGCCGGGTCTCCTCCTCTTCACCGCGGCGGCTGGCAGGTGTTTTTTCATCTAAATAATCTAAATCTTGCAGCTATATTTGCTGTGATCAGTGGGAATAAAGTAGTTTTAATATGTTTTTAAGTGAGAAAGTCCACCTGAAAACTTCATAATTGCAGTCAGTTCATCCAGATTATCTATTTCTGTCGGAGGCGCTCAGACCCCCACATACCAGCGGTGCACCGACAGCAGAAATCCTTTCATCAGCAGCCTCTAGGCCGGGTAGCCTCCAGGTTCACCGCGGCTGCTGGCAGGTGTTTTTCATCTAAATAATTTTAGCTGCAGGCACCAGGATACCGGTAATAAAAGCGAACAAATTCCGTCGGCAGGTTTCAGGATTTTAAGTTAATTTAGGAGTGATCACAGCGCACTGTCATCTGCGATGTGTCTGTCTCACGGCCAGCTCCCAGGTTTGATTAATAGTTTGTAATAAATACATGATTAAAGCACAGTCATACTCAGTTTTGCCCCCGCTGTATTTTTAAATACGCAGTAGAGGTATTTAAAGGTAGTAGAGGACATGTACCGGTATATAAAAAACGCGCCCTATAGTCCGGTGCGCCATATGTGTGTGTTAAATACAGAAATGGGACACATAACTGAGAGTGCGCCTTTTAGTACGGTGCGCCTTATGGTCGTGAAAATACGGTAAGCAAAAAAAGGAGCAGTAATCAGGGAGTCATGCAATAACTATGGTAAGAAGCACTAATCGAGAACATTGGGCCACCAGCAAGTTCAGCAAGGTACTAAAAAAAATATACTCTGAAAGCGAACACTCATTGACATAATAGCAATTGTGGTTTCTGTTACAGCTACAGTGGGGCCAAAAAGTATTTAGGCAGCCACTGATTGTGCAAGTTCTCCTACTTAGAATAATTAGAGAGGTCTGTAATTTTCATCATACGTACACTTCAGCTATGAGAGACAAAATGAGAAAAAAAAAAATCAGGAAACCACATTGTAGGATTTTTTAAAGAATTAATTTTTAAATTATGGTGGAAAATAAGTATTTGGTCAACCAGAATCCAGCAAGTTTTCTGTATAAAAGACACCTGTCCGAAGCTTCAAACCGTCACACTCCAAACTCAACCATGGCCAAGACCAAAGAGCTGTCCGAAAAACCAGAAAGAAAATTATAGACCTGCACCAGGCTTGGAAGAGTGAATCTACAATAGGCAAGCAGCTTGGTGTGAAAAAAAATCAACTGTGGGAGCAGTTTGTAAGAAAATGGAAGACATACAAGACAACTGATAATCTCCCTAGATCTGGGGCTCCATGCAAGATCTCATCCTGTAGGGTCAAAATGATCATGAGAATGGTGAGCAGAAATCCACAAACTAAACGGTGGGACCTGATGAATGACCTGCAGAGAGCTTGAAAAAAAGTAACAAAGGCTACCATCAGTAACACACTACTCTGAGAGGGACTCAAATCCTGCATTCCCAGACGTGTCCCCCTACTTCAGCCAGTACATATCCAGGCCCACCTGAAGTTTGCCAGGGAGCATATGGATCCAGAAGAGGATTGGGAGAATGTTATGTGGTCAGGTGAAACCAAAATAGAACTTTTAGGTAAAAACCCAACTCATTATGTTTGGAGGAAGAATGTAGAATTGCATCCCAAGAACCCCATACCTACTGTGAAGCATGGGGGAGGAAATATCATGCTTTGGGGCTTTTTTCTGGAAAGGGGATAAGAGAACTAATCAGTGTTGAGGGAAGAATGAACAGAGCTGGGGTCATGTTTCCTTAGATTTTAAGCCCAAACCTCCTTCAATCAGTAAGAGCCTTGAAGATGAAACATGGCTGGATCTTCCAGCATGACAACGATTTCAAACACACCACCCCGGGCAAAGAAAGAGAGGCTCCGTAAAAAGCATTTCAAGGTCCTGCAGTGGCCTAGCCAGTCACCAGACCGCGACCCCATATAAATTTGTAGAGGGAGTTGAAAGTCTGTGTAGCAAAGTGACAGCCCTGAAACCTCACTGCTGTAGAGGAGATCTGCATGGAGGAATGGGCCAAAATACCAGCTAGAGTTTGTGCAAAACTGATGAAGACTTACAGGAAATGTTTGTAACATAAACTTTATTGGCAAAGCATTAAGTTTAAATTTAGTTATTGACCAAATACTTTTAAAAAACTTTTTTTTTCATTTTGTCTCTCATAGTTGAAGTGTACCTATGATGAAAATTACAGACCTCTCTAATTATTCTAAGTAGGAGAACTTGCACAATCAGTGGCTGACTAAATACTTTTTGGCCCAACTGTAAGAGGTGTGCGTTGACACAAAGGGGCAGTGAAATGGTCTAGGTTTAGCTAGACAGAATCCACATACAGCTGGGAGAAAAAATAAATTACCACCACCTGTGGTTTCTTATGTAGTAGTATGAAAATCTCTTGAGAGGTTAAAAAAATAAATGAATTAGTTGCAGCAACTTCAGAGAACTGGAAGTTGGAGAGAAAACCTTAAAGCTGTAATTGCCTTCATGCAAGAGGATGGAGTAAATCACAGTGCTTTAAGTGGTAATAAACCACTTGTTGTTTTTATAAGCTCTTAGAGAGACGCCGACTGTGGAGAACGAGTCTGTTTAAGATGGATGTGCTTTAGTCTCACCTGCTCTTTCTCCTGCAGCTCTGCCTCTAGCTCCTTCACTCGAACGGCCAGCTGGGCGTTTTTCTGCTTTTCCTGATTGGCCTCATTGCATTGGGCCTCAAGTTCTGCAATCTGAAAAAAAAAAAAAAATAGCTTTTGTCTGCAGAAATGTAGTCAGGGAGTATACCCAAGGTTTCTAGCATACACCCACTTCTGAAAGCAGTTGTCAATGATCTCAGTCTCAGTGTCAGATTATAGCTCTACGGGACAAGCTGGGTCACAGTGAAAGCTGACAACTGATTAATGATCAAGTAAAATGTATGTTACATAAGTAAAATCATGGTTGCAACACGTGCCCAGCTGTAGAAACACAGAGATTATGACACTGAGCTAATTCTATTATTGCTACAGGGAAAAGAGTGGCTAATTAAAAGTATGGGACTTAAGTAATAATCGTTTCTCCTGTGTGAGGGATAGAAGTTATATGAACAATTCTCTCATCCTATTGAATGGATTATAATTACCATTATTGATGAGAATGTAATCTATTAGAGACGGAGAGTGATTCAGTTGTCTATTTTCCTTGAGGCAGAGATTTAAAGCAGGCAGCTTCTCGACCAACAGGATTGATGAGTTTGTATACACGTTTAAGCTTCCCTGCAGGATAGTGTGAGTGCGTTACCTTTTTCCTGAGTGTGTCACTCTCTTCTTGACAGGCAGTAAGCTCCTTCTTCCAGCTTTCTACATTAGCTGAGGACTCCTGCAGTGCATCCACCAGTCTGGCATTATTTTCTTTTAAAGTCTGAAGCTCTGTTTCATACTTCTTAGTGGTGGTGTTACTGCCAGAGAGGAGAGATGGAAATATCAAGGAGTGTTATTATTCATCAAGTTAAACCGCTCAGTGCTGAAATGGTCGTGGCTTATGGGCACAGAGTTACATAAAATTATTTCATTTATCAAACAAAAGAAAAAGTATGAATGCTTTAAGCTTAGACCATGTTTTCTATTGAAAAATGGCTGACGATGTTTCGATACATTTACTATGCATCACTGTGTGTTTATTTATGCATGGCTGGTTGATGTGTTCAACTCCTCTTTAAAGAGGGACTGGGATGCTCCTCTGCATCTGCAATCCTCAGTTTCTTTAGTCCTGTTTTCCACAAATCCAGATCCTACAGTCCCGATAAAGGAGAAAGTCCGAACAAGATGGGGTTCAAAGCAGAATTACTCCAGAAGCTGAAAGCTTCAAGTGAACAACTTTTTTTAGGATAATCCTGGTCTCATTCATGAAGAGTAAATTGCTTTTGAATATCATTACAAGGACGCTATCTTTATTATGGATCCCAAAGCATTTGCTTTATAAGTACAACTGGATATGAGAAAAGCAGAGAAAATGCTATTAACTCTAAGCCATAAATGATTCCCAAAATGAATAAAAAATTAAAGATGAATGAGAAACTAACTTGCCTTATGAATGCATATTTTATACATCATTCTGCTAGAAAAAGTCCCCATGTTTGTTTAAATATAAGAATTTCTGCAGACAAATGTGCAAGTTTCATCAGTACTTCATGTTGCAAACTTTTCCACCGATCTGTTCGACAACAGGATGAAGAACGTACAATTAAAGAAGCAGCGGCTCTTTTTGGTTGCTGCCTATTATTTTAATTGGCTCTGCCACCCTGAGGCCTTCTAATGCAGCTGGTTCCACATCTGGTGTCTTATAATTATAATTCAGACTCTTGGTATCAGGACTGAGGTCCAGATAACCTAACAGGAATAACCCCGTTATCAGAAGACAATCAGAAATGCAGGTATTTGTGGATAAGTTAGCTCCCATTATTATACAAAAGAAATGTTTAATAAAATAAATGAAAAACACTGTAATTGATGAGGAACAGCTGTCTGGAGTAAAAATAATGACAAATCCACCTTTGCTACACTATGTTGAGATAAAGAGTTCATGAATTTGTATGCCACTACATTAAAAGTGTAAACATGGATTAAAATGATCAGACTCATGATCCGTTTTACATATATTTATCATCAAGTTGATGAGTGAATTATCTTCAGTGAGAAGCATCTTAACGAGGGAATGAAGAGAGAAAATACAGATTTCAAAATACATTTATGCTTACAATTACAACATAACCAATTTAAACAGAAATTAATTGCATTGGAACAATTTAGCATTATTCTATTTTAATTATTAAGTACAGAAACAATAAATAAATAATGAAATGAAAAAATATTAAACCAAGCAACTGTAGGGTAATGTACAAACATATTAAAGGTATTGTGGAGGATTTTCACAATTTTTTTTAAAAGACCCACCCTCGCCCGGGAGGGAAAGCCTATTAAACACGTGCAAGAGCATGCAGGAGCCCATTTCTCCTCATGCACAGTCTGTTTAAAAGCTGCTGTTCTCATAGATCATACCAGCTTACCGTGTCCCAATGTCCACCCTAATTCCTAACCCTTCAATCACTATATAGGGCGGGGACCATATAGTGGACTTTATACTGAACTCGGTTAACTGACTGTTCAGACAGATGATCACTACTTTTTGCTTCCTGCTGGTCACGTAACTCCTCCTCGACCACGTGGTGCCTGCGCCATCTTTGTTATTAGGCCGCTGTGACAGCAAATCCCATAATTATTATGAGATATATCTGCCTCTTCTGAGGCCTTTCTCTTCTGTCATACACTTCGTAGACACTTTTTCTCTTACAACCCTCGGCCATTTTCAAAGAACCGTGGTGGGAAAGGTGAGCTTCCATGGCTGTCTGAAACCATAACTCACCACAGATATACGCCTGAAAGTGCGCATGCGCAGAAAAAGATAGCTAACTGAGCGAGCATGTATGACGCCCTAACGTAAACATATCACCAGAATGATTGACAATTAGGAGGGGCACTAATTTAGATTATCCACCTGGAAATAAAATCCTCTATACCTTTAAGAAAAACTGTTCAGGATGTTTATAATCTGCACATATTTAACAATTTCTATTCATTATATTTAACATCATTATGTTACGTTTACAAAAAAATGGAAGACTCAAGCAAAGCCAAGTCTTAGCCATTGATCCAGGTCACTACTGACAGAGAAAAACAGTATAACAGTGTACCTGACCCGGGTCTGCTGCCAGACCATCAGGTCTATGGAAACCAAATACAGGCTTCATCAGAAGCAGTTCCCAGGAAACTGCCCGGGACCTTTCTCACCGGGAATATCTCGACACACAGCTGCACAGTTGGCTTCGAATGGTTCCCGTTTTCAGAGTTTAAAACTGAACAAACAGCATGAGAATAAAAAAATAATAATAATTGTACTAAATAAAGTGGTTTTTTCCACTTATTTCAGAAGCTTGAAAGTAAATTATTTCTTATGAATTATAAGTGTTAAATACAAATAGGTATAAAGAACAAATCAAGTTGGGCAACTAAATTCAAAGCAGGTTGGTCAGGCTCGTCTTTTTATTCCAGATGAGGGTTGAGGTTCTTGTGAAGGGTTTGGAGCGTTTTAATTTTTACAGAAAATATGAGTCAGATTTGGGCAGCTCATAGAAGTTACGCCCTTTGACATCACCAGGTCACATGACCCAATAAGAATGAGAACTGAGTAATGCATATAGCCACCTTATTATAGGTTCTTAAGCAGGACAATAACAAAATCATCTGTCTGGATGACAGCATTGGTATGTCCAAAGTTCTAGACATGCAATAATTAACAATTAAAAAAAGAAAACAAAAATAAATGACTATTCATGATTTGAATGAGGGTCATTCCACAAGTTTGCAGACCTTCAAACTAGCAGAGTGAAATTATTCATCTTAAGAAATTCTGTGATGTGTATTTAAATGATATTTTTTTTATTTAAAAAAAACTGTTTTCAAATCACCACATTAATCTAGGATCTCATGAACATCTACAGAGTAAAAAGGGTTTCAGCCCAGTTTAAAGCTATTTTCTGAAGTTTAGGTCTGTTAAGTAAAATGTTTGCATAAATATAAGAACGCTGGGATTTGTAGTCCCTAAATGTGATAAATCCATTTAAACTACATAGGTAAAAATATGGTGGAATGGGTTAATCCCCAAAACTTTCTTTGGAGACAAAATGTGTCTGCAAAGCTTGTTTTATATTTAAACACAATTAAAAACAAAGTTTTCTAAAGCAAATCAATGTTCAGTTCAATCAGAGCCTCCAGCAGCCAAAACAGTACAGTGAAATCTGATGAAATTCAATAAAATAAAAATTTTCTCCTTTACAAATGGCTCCCACTAGCATAAAAAAGCACTAATAAAGTGTGCTTGCCTTGAGATTCAATCTCTAGTTTCTTAAAGGTTCGTAGCTTTACTCTATGTTCTCGGCCTCCAGCTGGTCAGTGCAGGCGGCTAATCAATCCCTACCTGTGATAATGAAGGACGCTCTATGAGCTCTTACAAGTTGGAATTGCTGCTTTTGAATACAGATGACTTAGAGTCTGAACTTTTTTAACTGAGCAGAGCTGAAATTATTACATTGGAATTTAACTTAATGTGGCACCCGAACAACATTTTTGTGAATTTCCTTAATAAATACGTATAAATAAAATTGAATCAAATGGGGAAAAAAGTGCTAAATGTTGGAAAAACTGTAAATCATATACCCGCCTCAAGTTTACATTTGATCACCATGTTTACATCACTGCTGCGTTTTAGAAATGGAAATGTCTTGAGAGCTGTACTGAATTAAATGTAGTTTTATACACTCTGTGTACACAAAATGACAAGGTTTGTCTATGTTTAAGTTAAAATAAAGATTGTTAAAAGTAGCAATTATCTTTTACCTTTATATAGTATAGGCATAGCTTATGCCAGTACTATATAAATAGAAATAATATTAGATGAGGAAAACAATGACTCACTGATGTAACAGACAATGTTGAAAAGTTCTTTTTTTTCTCCATAAATTAAAACGTTACCTTTGTTCTACGAAGCTTTTGAGACGTTCATTTTCACTTTTCAGCTGAGCAGCTTCTGGACTGAAGGAGATTTTCTCATCATCCGTCCCGTTGATGCTCGACGCCTGGTTTGATGAAGGGGTCTCCCGTCCAGACTCCTGCTACAAGAAACAAGTCAAATTGTATAAGAGATGAGATTTCCACTACGTTCTCTCTACCAAAGGGGGTTTGGGTGATATTTCAGCTGAACATTGTAAAGAAGCTGAATGTGTAAGCCCTGACAGAGGAGAGACAACTTCTGCCAGCATTTATCATGTCATACGGCCTTGCAGCTCCATGTGTCCCAGGACTGAGAGTGAATCTTACCATCTGGACACACTGTTCGCCTGACAGCCGAGCTGGCAGCAGACAGACAGACTTCTCAACAATGTTTCTCAAAACATCTCATCACACAAAGCTTATCTTCCAGATATCTGGCCTATTATGAGCTTTCGACTTTTAATTCTTATGATATATGTTTGCAAATCTGTCTAAACCACATGCTTTCATCTGAGGTTGGATAAAAGATTTCTGTTGCAGCGAGTTGTGACTTTACAGGGAAGAATATGTGAAACAGCTGAGGGATTCCTTACCTGGGAGTGGTTGCTTAATGTGTCCCCCTTTTCTTGCGATTTGTCCTTTGCCAACTTGGCTGCGTCTTTTACTTCCTGGAACTTCTCTGCAAACTGAAAGCATAACAACCAAGAGGTGTAAAAAGTGACAAAACAAAGCAATACTAAAATCACTACTTTAATTTCTTAACACCTTAAATGATTTGCCCTTGAGTGATTTTAAAAAACTGTATACACAAGTATAAATCTACAAAAGCAGGTTTATTTTAACCCAAGACAAAGAGCTGTATCCAAAATATTAAAGCGTTTGTGAAGACAGAAGAAATGTTCAATGTCACCTTTGACAGCTGTTGCTCCGAGGCAAATCCCAGTCCAAACACAGTGTTGGCCCTGCTGTCCGCCCACTGGCCAAACTTCTGGGACGTCTTTGTAAACGTCATGTTCGGTGTGATTGTGCTATTGATAATAACCTGATAAATAATAAACACAAATTAATATTATTGCATTTCATATATCAAACAGCTGCTGTACTTCTTTATTAGATCCATGCTCTTCCCTTAATAATCAGTTGAGCTTCCACAACAGAAGCAAATAAATATAAGCTGAATTTTCAATACTCAAGCATACAAAAATGAAGCATTATGATTGCTTCTGATGCGTGACACACATTCTGTTCTTCTAATAATATGTTCTCCTGTTGCTGTGAAGTAGCAGGTAGGATAGTGAGAATATCCTGCTGCAGTAGTAGACTGAGGACATTAGGAAATTGACTGGTAAAGAATAAATCACCTGAACATTTATGTTTTGCCCAGCAGACAAATCTAAAGTTATATTTAAGCAGAGATATACAAATAAGCCAAAGACGCTGTAGACCAGAACCAAGAACCCATCTTCACTACGATTATCTAAAAACGTACTTAAAAGAAGCACATGTTAATTACACCAACAATTAAGAAACAACAGAAGACAGATTAATCACAGTGCAGGCCTGGTCTCATAGCAACATGGCTCCGAACACCAGATTACAGATTTCAAACTGTTGATAGACTCGTGTCCTTTTCTACGCCCCCACCATCTCCCTCTTCATCCTTTCAGTGGCCAAAGCGTTCAAAACATTTCCACTGAATCATTGCTGGACACACAAAAACAAATGAGGAGCATAAGCTTAAAATAATCCTCCTGACTTTTAAACAGATCATCTTGTATTTCCCATATACCGAGAAGCCTTTTATCAAGCTGTCTGATCAAAATGAAAACCATCTCTTTCAGAGGTTTGACCAAAACAAATGTGACCCAGTTTAAACAGCAGAGAAACCTGTGTCAACCCTAAACACCACATCTCCGTTTAAAGCTTCCAAGTGAATATTTAACAGAGCTCATTGTGCTGTTAAGATTAAACTTTAATTATCTTTGTGTAGGTAATATATAAATAGGACTGAGGCTGCAGGCTATAAGAACAGGTAAACAGACTAGTTTTATTCTAGTGCTTCGTAAAACAACCTTGATATATAAATGAATCAGTATTAATGTGTTAAATGTCCAATTATTTTTAAGACATTCAAAAAGCGCATTAATATTTATATAATGCATAAGGGAAAAATAAAACCCTTTTAATAGGAAAATGTCTGTCAGAAAAAGAAATATTTTATGCACACATAATTCCAACAATGTAAATGTCAAACATTTTTTCAATTCACTAATCTAACTCACTAATCTAAGTTATGTTTATTTTGGTAAATCATCCATATGGGAAAGACAAGAACACATACTACTAACAAGAGGGTGGGAGGGAACTCTTTAAACTCTTTTGTTATCTTTGTACAAGTGTTCAAATCAGAAAAATGGTTAAAGAAATTAAAGTGACCAAAACGACAACAAAGCTGGATAAGGTGTTAATCATTCAACAACAGCACACTTAGCTGGAAGCTTACGGAGGTAGAAACATCCCAAAGAGGACTGCAGTCAAGAGTGCAAAAAAATGGTTTTACCAAAACTAACAATCCACATTCTATAGATCTAATTGAGAAACTGGAAAAAAAGCATTTTCTGCTGTTCCACCAAATTTATAGGCTTATAGAATTTGATAAATGTCAAACAAACATAACTGGAACAGTGTAACTTGAAGAAACCAAGCTGGAGCATTTTGACTTTAAGTTGGTCTGCTTTAAAAAAAAAAAAAAAAAAAGAATAACACCCCCACTTGTGCAATTAATGGCAGGTCTGCGATGTCTAAGAGTTTGTGTAATTGGTAACGGCATAAAGCATCTAGAACTCTTTAAATATAGGCACAATTAAATAATCTGGTGAAGGACTAACAATGAATAACTTCTGGGGCCATAAATCAGAGGCAGACCGAGGACAATGTTGCATGCTCAGATCTATTTGTTTGCTTCAACCTAAAGTAATTTTTGCAGAAGAATACGTGTCATCCTACATGCAAAAGAGGATTGCATAGCAGTGATCTCAGAGGAACAAATGACACTGCTGATTTTCTAAGAAATGATTTCTTCCCCACTAAATAGACTGTTTTACTTTTCCCTCCATTTCAGATTATACTAGAATAATAAAAGATTATTTATTTCAAGACATTTTAAACATATTTCCTAGCGCAGCAATATATGGGAAAACCTTGAGACCGTTACCATTTATTTTAAAAACTTCAAGTCAAGTCTGGTATGTTGGCCTTGTGACTTTATTTTAGCATGTAGGTGAGCAAGCAAAAGTGTGAGAGGAAGGGGTGTGAAGGAGGGTGAGTGGAGTGACGCTGACAGCTGTGTGGATGGTGAAATGGGCTGCAGATCAAGTGGCACGAGGCACAGACAAGATCACTGCTGGCTGGTCCCCCGAGATCCAGAAAAAAAGCTTTGATTTTCAAGTCGTCAGAGAAAAAGTTGCTGAAAAAACTACAGGATATATAAAGGTGTACGACTGGAATTGCAAAACATGGAAGGATATTTTTTGATAAGAAAGAAATGACATGATAGTTGAACTTTTCAAAATGCCTAAGAGGGAAAAAAAAAAGTGAAACCCAACAACTGGCAGAGTATCTTATTCCAGGATCATAGAAGCCAGGCTGCAAAACGTGTCACTACAGCATGACAAAGTACAAACAATGAAGAAACTGTCAGAAAGGAAGTCATAGTTATACCCAGTAGGAAATAACTACATAAAAACATTTTGTTGTTTTTTCCATATCTTTTAATCTTATACACAAGGAAGGAATGAAAATGTACTGGTATGCCCACATGGCTCTGTGGTGGCAGTGACGCAGGTTTACTTCAGAAGGTACATTAAGTTACAGTCAGCGATGGGATCAAAATCTCAGCTCATTAAGATCTAAATGAGGGTGAAAGCTCATACATTATGCATCTTTCAATCCGTTTAAGTGGGAATGTTTTCTTGCTTAAGACCTTCTGCATACAGGTAGTGGAATCGACCAATCGTGCCTGGAATGTGAGAACATCCTTTCTTCCGCATTACCTGCATTACCTACATTCCTTCAGTGAACAAAGCTGCAGAGATTTTTGAGGAACCGTGCAGAACTCTAGCTCCAGACAGAAAACAGTAAATCTTTTTTTGGATAATGTAGCATTAAACCTAAGAGGAAATTCAATTTCTGAACATTGAGCCGATAAAGTGCAGCTTGTTTATTTGTACATGATGTTTCAGATTACGTTGTTCTGCTGCTGCTTCAGAACAACTATTACCAGGCTCAGATAAGCAATAACCAAATTTTATAATTATTTTGCGATTTAACGGCTCTGTGTATACACTCTTATAAGAGCCTGGCATACAGTAAAAAACTAATGCAGCTCCATGAAAAAACAAAACAAAGATCCTAAACCTTTCTGTTAAAACAATTTAAAAAAACAAAAATTAGACACATTTACCAAAAAATGCAGTACCAGAGTCTTTGACCAGACCAGATTGCATCATGTATTTCACCTCAGGTCACTGGTTGAACGTGACACATTCAAAGATGCAGCATCTATGAACTTTCAGCAGGTGTTCTGTTTTTTTTTTCCCTCTCCTTTCAGAACTTTTCTTCCTTAGAGTAAAAAAAAAAGAAGAAAAATTCAAGAGCTAAGTCCTCCTACTGCAACCATGTTAACCGGGCATTTCTTAGACTTAAACAACTTTTATTATAATTTTATTGTCTTTTATTGCAACTCCAAGACTTCCATCTTAAATGCTGCTACAGGAAAACAAGAGGAGCCTGCTATGATTGGGAATTTAAAAAATAAGAATTTTTTTTTTATCAAACTAGAGGGGCAAATTTAAACAACTTTAAATTGTTGCAGAAATGCAAAGATATGAGAGGTGGTTAACTTGCATAATAAATTTGTGTATTTATGTGCAGGGCTATATAAACCTATTACACACAGAATAATGCATGAGTATAGCAAGTGAATTCTACTGCACAGTCACAGCATCTTCTAGGTTGCTGTTTGAGTGGTAAGATTCAAAATAGTGACAGTAAAAAGTGCTGGTGTATTCTTTCACTTGGCGTAGCATCATCAGTAAGATGCCTACACATCATGACTGGACAAATATAAGCTGATGGTCTGTCACTGTTCTTGCATTCAGCAGAACTGATCATTAGTCTGGACAGACATGCCCCCCCTGTAGCTACAGTGTACGAACTAGAAACTATATTTAACATTTGATGACTCAACAGTTCCTTACATTTGGTCGCTTTGCTCGTAGGGATGTCGCATTTACTTAGTAAACAAAAGATAAAATCAGAATCTATACAAGTCATCTCGTTTTAAACTGAGATAACATTTCACAACTCTTTATCCTCATACTTAATAGTTCCCTTTAGGATTCTTACGTGCAGTCTCTGGAGGCTACAGGAGGGTGGGGGACAGAAGAGCAGAAAACAGGACTCCTAAACTCCATTTATAAAGATATAGGGGATCTTAAGCTGCATTTCCAATGCCTTGCATGTTTCAAGTAATAGTATAGAAAAACCCAAATAATTGTAAAAATAGTAGGATAACGATGGAGAGTTTTAGTTTCTTTTTACAAAAATAATTCTGAATGTTTTTCATGTACCCCCCCTCCAATTTCAATATTCCATAATAAAACAAGGTATAACCAACTGAATTTGCAGATCAGTAACTTGCAAGTAATTTAATCTCAGTATAAATCAATTTTTCTTTTTGCCAAGGCCCCCAGATGTTAAATAAAGAACATTAATGCAGTGACGGTGTCATAATAGCTAGATAAAACATCAAAAATGTCAGGGTGAAAAGGTTTACGGTAGTATATTTTACAGTGGGACTGAGAAATGTATGGGAGCAGACAATTTGACTGCTTAATCGATCAATAAAAGGAAGAATAGAGTATACAGTAACACTACAACTATATAGCTGTTAAACTAAACTAACAAATCAGAGTTTTTCATTAGGGAAGCAAGCCAAGAGGCCAACAAATCTATTTTTTTGGAAAAAGTAGCATGAGGAAACCTATGGTTAAAAAAAAAAACGTTTAGAAAAATTGTTTACAGCAAGTCAGCGATTATAGTTAGCAGCTCCAGTCAGATAAAATCTAACATGAGCCGTCTATGGCTTACAGGCAAATCAACATGTAGCACAACCCCTTAAAAACACCAGGTCTCATGTTAAGTGAGACTAGAAAGTGGCAGCATCATGCTGAGTGGAGGTTTTCCATCATAAGGTTGTAAAAGTCTTGAGACTGGGTTTAAAGAATAATCCTCAAAAAGTGCAACAACTCTAAAAATACAGCCACAATGGAGTCATTTAGATAAAAACATAATCCTTTGTAAAATTGCTCTAATCCAGTGATTCCCAACCACGGGTACTCGTACCCCTACTGGTCCACGTGTGCATTGCAAGGGGACCATGAAAATATTTTATTTCCTGGGTAGCAAAAAAAAAAAAAAAAAAAAGGAATGGGATCTGTTTTGCTTTGTGAGGACCCAATCAAAACATAAAACTATTTTTTTCAACCAAAAACTTTTTCTTTTAGTTCACAGACACATCTAAACCAAGCAGAGGAACAGACTGGATCTAGAGAACAGCCTGCGATCAGCTGTTTTCCAAACTGAGCTATCAGAGCTCATCAAAGCAGCTCAGGGGTCTTGATGAAAACAAAGTATTAATTAAGTCAGTCTGACAATAATTTTTGCTTAGTATTTTGTTTCCAAAAGTTTCATAAAGTTTATATGTAATTATAGGGGAGTTACTCAAAGGAGCTCCAGTTTTATAAATACAGATTTTATGGCTTGATTCTATTTTGATTCCTTACTAGCTTCCATGCAACATACTAATGTCTTTTATTTGAGATGGAAACAATGAAATGCCTAAGAATTAAATGCTCATTTTATAATTAGTTATTGTACATTCCACTTTTGGACATGGTTTTGATTTAGAGAGGTGCTCATGGTAAGACCACACGCCCAAGGGATACAAAAGTCAAAAAAGGTTGGGAAGCACTGCTCTAATAAAAGGCTAGACCTAGACCTAAATATGTATAAAGAAAAACAAAAAAATACACTTTGAAAACTAATAAACTACTTTAAATGTATTCTTAGTTTTTAGTTGGTCAAAGACATAAAATCCAATGGGGTATGATTGTGCTGCAATAAAATATAGATATAAGTTTTTATCATTATAAATCACTGTATCTACAAAGAAAAAGTTGCATGTTGCCAGGATTTTTTAACAAATTCCAATTCAACAATAAGAAAAAAAAAAAAAAAAAAAAGTCATACAGGGCAAATTTTCAGAAATACGAGATCTAGTCTGTGGGATACGCTCAGGTTTGTGTTTATTGATCACTTACTGGAAGACAGCAGGAAGTGCTTTCTGTGCAATTTCCACTTTCGAACAAAACCACCCTGGTAATCCCAGTCCACTGTCTCTCAAGTTGCTCTGCATGTACACTGGCGATTTAAGGCTCAAAGCCTTTTGCTGTCTCAATGCTCCAGTATCACACAGAGAGGATTGCCATGGAAACTAATCATCTACCCTTTCATGCAGCTGGTAGGAATAGTTTAAAAGTGAAATATACTCATGTGGAACAACTCATAACTTGAATGTTTTGATACTGAAAAATTAGATAAATGAAATATAATCAAAATGATGAAGTAGCATCCTGAAAGCTAAAGTGACCGTTCTACAGTAAGCAATGCTCAGGATATAAGAGCTTTTGTCAAGCAGTTGTGTAATTATTTTTAATGAAAAAAAGGACCAGAAGGATAAACAACAATAAGAATATATGGTGCTAATCAGTGGGAGCTGAAAATCTACAATTACATTACTTAATGCGTCATTCTGTTCACTTTTAGATTTAGGAACATAACCTCCTCTTTGTCTCTAGAAAGCAGCTGAAATGTTCTCCTATATGATCGCTTTACACAAGGACAGAATATACACAGCCACACACACCTTGGATCCATCCACGCTGATGATTCGATAGCTGTTGCGTGTGCTGTCATAAAAATAAGAGACGGTGACGGCCTGCTTGCTGGCAGGAACCCAATTCTTCTTGGTGCTTGGATCGATCTGGAACACATGGGCCCTGGTGGTGTAGATCGGCTGCTCCCTGCAGGGATGAAAACAAAACACAGTGACCACATTAAAAAGAGACTTTAGGTAACCTGTAGATATGTTTCTCAGGTTAAGATAAGACCCACTGATAAATGACTCATATCTTAAACAGTTTCTTCTACGTGCAAAGGTACACTTTCCTCCAATGTCTCCATCTCAGCGTGCCTTTTCTTCAAAGCCCCCAGAGCGGGTAGGTGTTAATGTAACACAAACCCTTCAGTAAATCCTTACAGATATTCAGATCCATTAGCACATCAACACACTTCTCCATCTCAAAAGGTGTCAGTAACATCTCTTTTTGTATGTCAACAAAAAGCTGCCCCCATCATGTTTGCACCTGCCTTTGTATCCATTTAGATAATTACATTAAAAAGGAAAAAAAAATTCCTGAAAGCCATCACTAAAAAGTTTGTCAAAAGGGACAAGCAATTTCCTTTGTATATATATATATATATATATATATATATATATATATATATATATATATATATATATATATATATATATAAACTAAATTTCTTTATTAATGCACAATTACTCCTCAACTAGCACAATATGAAAATATTTTTCAGCAATCATTTGAATTATTTCTACCTTTAGATCAAAGATAGTATTTAATAAATTTCCAAACTGACTTCAGCTGTGCCTTGTTACATCATTATTCAGCTTTGCCCTAATCTAACCTTTCGTGAAACAGGTTTTCATCAGTTAAATCTCTAAAATCTACAATATACAACAAACTGAACTGGCTCAATGCAAAAAACAGAAATCTAGATAAGTCATTTTTTCTTAAAATAAGTTAATATTTTTTTTCAAATTGAGGAGGTAAGTGAGACACTTTGACAATGGAACAAGACAATTTACACTTAACAATTGCATTGTCATATTTCAAGTGCATATTATCCAATTATCTTATTTTAAGAGAATATTCAGTCCATTGGCAAATCAGCTTATTTACCTACTCAAATGAAAGGTAAATACATTTAATTTAAGACATTTTTACTTATTTCTAGATGATTTTTGCAGTGTAGTGAGGACAATCTTGGAAGAGTTGGGTTGGAGGAACCCTTAAAGTTGCATCATTTTTCTTCCAGAGTTAAGGCCTCTACCTCTTAGCAACAAACCATTTTCTGCACTTGTTAACCATGGGGAAAATTTAAGACTAACCACTTATCACTTTAATGACCCCAGGATATACTGTCATTTCTGGATACATTACCTTCTTCCTCTGTCAAGCTCTCCAAAATAACCCCACAACATATAAACATCACCTGACTAAGTCTTATTATGAAACAAAGAAACTGAAAGCATCTTGAAACACCACATAAAAACTTGCCTCCTCCCCTCTCGTCTACCTTGAAACTGTAGAGATTAGACTTGTGGAGCAAATGTGGTCTCTTTCAAGATATTATAAAGGTTTTATAAATGTATTATAGATCTACTAATTTTGTGCACAAACATGGAAGAGTTTGTAATTCTTCATTTTAAATTTGAACTGAATTGAGGCCTACTGTGCCATATTTGTGCACAGCAAGTGACATTCTCAGTTTTCTCCTGACCAAACAGACGCTGAAGCACAGAGTTCACCAGTGGAGCATTAGAGACCTATTGTTAGTTTATTATGGAGGGTGGATCCAAGCAAGTTTACTATGAAGTGTGGCTTTCAAAGGTGAGTATAAGAGTCTTTTACGGTCTTTTGCAGTAAAACTCAAAGAACAAGGAATGACCAGAGAGAGCCTGGATAAGAACTTCAGATAGATCACTAAAAAACGTAATGGGTGGAGTTTAAAACATCTGGATGAACAGTAAGGCTGTGATTATTTTTCAGCAGTAGAAGTGCAGTAAAATGGTTTTAGAACTAGCACAATTTTGTTATTTCTTTAAAAAAATATAAAAATCTCCAATATATATATCCACTTGGGTATATTAAACAGCCCAATGAGAGTTTGGTCCCACCCATCTCGTTACCATTATCTTTATACAAGGGATTCAACAAAAAAAAAAAAAAAATACAAATATACAAAAAGGCTGTCGGTAGAAAACCCTACAGTATGAAAGGAAACAATGCAATTTTCTATTACATTTTGATGCATGAGGGGTGAAAGATCTCATGTGAGAGATAAAAAGAAATCTTGAGAAAAATGCAGATTTTCATATAAAAGGCAGATGGCGGAGGGTTGAGACTGTCAGTTCAGTTACAAAGCTGTTTAAATCAACTAGCAATGGTTGTTATGACATGTTTAGCATAGGATCTTTCCACTTCTTAGGAAAAAAACTACAGATGCAACAATCAGGCTCCAACTGTTAGATACTTGTTTTGTTTAACTATATTTCTCAAAATTTTCATGTTATGCAAACCTTGCTCATAAAGGAGATAAACTTACCAACTCTGCTGGTGTGAAGTCAATACATTGTTGTTGTAGTATTGCCCTTATTTATGCATATGAAAATGTTACAATACATTTACTGAGCAATAAATATGTACACAAGATTACGTGAAACCAAACTTTGTCATGTCGAAAAGATTCTGCAAGCAATCCCATTTCAGGAGAAGGGTTAAATCTGTGGCGCTAAAAATAAAACAATAACAAAGATTGTCCATGCATTCATTTTCTCCTGCTTATTGCGTCAGGGTCATGATGGGGCCGGTGCCTATCTCTGGCAGGCTATGGCCAACAGGCAGGGAAATAGACACAACCATGCTAAAACATGCACACAATTTCATGTTTTCGAGACGGGGAGAACATGCAAACTCCATGCAGAAAGACCCCGGGCCAGGACTCAAACCCAGAACCTGCCTACTGCAAGGAAACAGTGCTACAAACTGTAGAACAACCAGTTTGAAATGCTGAATATTCAGGAGCTAATAAAGCTTTCCCTTCCACTGGGATTATGGTTCTCTGAAAAATTACAGCCTAATAAATTTGCTGCTCCCTTTAAGCCTAATCTCCATCTTCATCTGCTTTGGGAAAAACAAAACGCATTATACAAATCACTGCTGTTGCTCCACCAGCGAGCAAATGCACACATAAAGGCTGACCTTTGCTGGGGCTACAGTGTCTGAAGCAAGTTCACTCTGGCAGGAGAAGACAAGCGAGAGGCCAACGCTGAACACATGGCTGAACTTATACAACGGTTAGTGGAATCCAGTGATCTGATTTTTGGGGGCTAAAAGGCATTAAATTAATTGATTTTTCCTGAATCAAAAAACTGAGGATGTTTTCAACAGAATTCTGCTCCCAGTTACTGTGGAGTGCTCTCTGTCCCCATCTGGTGCTTTAAATAATTTACAGGTGTCTGTGTTTCTGTGAGAGGAGGCAAGTCTGAGTTAATCTACTCTGTCTGTACATACACTCCATATTCAACTCAAGCTAATACGTAGTCATGGGACATCAATAAAGCTGCGTGCATAAAAAAAACACATTAAAAACAACTAAGTGTAAATATAGGACAGGTTAACTTAGTCAAATGTGTTCATTTAGCCAATAGATTATAAACCTTTACTTTATAATCCAATTTGAGTCGACAACACTTAAGATTTGATTTGCACCACCTTTTTATGTCCCTAAACATGACATTTTCCAGCACTATGATTAGCTTAAACAAAGACATTTCAAAATGATCTGAGATGACACCATGTACGAGGAGAAAGTGTGAATAAAAGCACAAAGCTTTCCTTTTTTTTTTTACTGAGACTTTAGAAGTTATTTTAAAGGCACTTAGTCACAGTCACATCGTATTTCTGTCATACATGTTTTTTTTAAAGAAAAAAAAAATATACAAGTGAAACTGGTTCCAACAAGATTCCAGAGTTTAACATTTCACTCCAGGCTAATTCCCTAAGCACACTTTGCTCATCCATCAGCTCCGTAACTTTCCTGACTGAGAGGTAAACTGAGGTCAAAGAGAATAAGTCAAGATGTCAAAATTCAAACCGAGCCTGTTTGACAGAAAACCTGCAGCTCCAGAGATGGAGGCTGCTTATTTCCATTTCCAACAGCAAGTGAACTGTATCTGACTGGCAGGTTATACAACATATTAAAGATAGAAAATAAATCAGCAAATGTTATTCATCCCTATTTAATAAATAGGTAGGGAAGAACATGAAAATGCATTAGTGTATTGAAAGGATATATAGAGACACTAATTCTGTGGCCGTTAGAGAGCAATTACAATATCCAGAGATCACAGGTCAGAGAGAGCATGGCTAAATGCTGCTAGTAAATATGTTTGGTACTTTAAATGTTTAAAAATAATAATCAGATTCAGATAGAAGTAGATTAACAGAATCATCATATTATATAATAAAAGATCTTCATTTGTCTCCCTGTCACTGGGACATTTTAAGGTGATAATAGCTTTTTATCTTATTATCTGTGAGCAAAACAAACCTCTACATAAAAAATAATGGCATAGGTGAATGAAATATTTAAGAAAAAATAAACTAGTTCCAGAATACTAATCTTATTAGACAAAGAGAAAAGGCCTTTTTCCCCATTTTCTTTTACATTTACACATAAGTTTAAGAGTCGAGCAAAACTGTCACAAACAGAATATTAAAAAAAAAAAGTGCTGACCAGTGTCTGACCTAATATGCCTTAGAAAATTAAGGGGGGTTTATTTTCCCACTTCAAGTAATGAAATAGAAAAAAAACGACATAAGTCAATGTTAACTTTAGACTGTTTTATTGCCTGCCCTACGACAGAATCGGCTGGCTTTTCTATAGGAAAGAAAAACAGAACATCTTCTGTTAGAGAAAGAAAAAAAAAGAAAATATATTTCCAGTTAAATGGCAGACTTGAATGCCAGCTATAGAAAAGATGAATTTTATAGCTTTGAATGAGCAAAATAATCATGAAAGAAAAGGCCTACTTCAATCCAAGTGGGATTTCAATGTAATAAAGATGCTGTTCCTCTAATGAAGTCGGGAAGTTGAAAGTCTTGCCCCCAGATACTTCATGCAATAACTTCACTGCAGGATTTCAGCAGAATGA